ATAGGGTCAGCAAGAGATACATTAATTACTGGTTTTTACATAAATAGGTTGAGTTATAGTTAAAGAATATTATTGTGTTAGCGCTTACGAATAGGTAAGCTACGTAGCGTTAATGAATAAAAGGTGACAGCTTTTGTGTATAGAGAAGATATCATAGGGAAAACATTAAACCCAAGGGATAAAGTGCAAGAGTTAGGCAGCATAAGAAGTTAAGGACTGCTACTATGTATACTGTTATTTTGAAATATACAATATCTGAAATAGTTTGCTGATGCTGTATACAAGCTTTCGAAATGGACTTCATACTTAAATGCCGATATTCAGAATTTCTTCGTTGTTTTATATGGGAGTCATTCAAACTCAGAGATCGTAGCCAAAGACAGCGCTGCCCCACAGAAAAGGTTGATTTACAGAAGTCTCCACTCTCCTACCTTTTAAAATACTAGACCCTGGCCAGATGCTTCCCTAGTACGCATTATTGTGTGATTACCGGTGTCGTGTGCATGCATTCTTTTTTTATATGAAGTTTTCACTCTCATTCAAGTGTAAATGAATACTTTCAATAGTTAACCTTGCAACTTAAAGAAACAAGACAACAAACTAGTTGAGAGATTAGATGGCCACTACTGTATTTAGGGACTACTTTTTAAACATGAATAAGCGAAGACTAAGTGACATAGTGGAAGGCATGAAATAGTAATACAACATACGTAGGTTATAACATACATATATGTCGACAGTGGGCTGTAAAACTGTAATACATGACTGATAGGTTTTGACCACTTTCTTTTACCTCACAAAGCCAGTAATAAGACTGGTAAAGAGGGAAAGTTGGGCATGAGGTCAGCAACCTCATCCCGTAAAAATAAGCACCACTGCTACCGAAACTGCAAGCCTCTTGCCTGAAGCCTTACGTTCCACAGGGAACGCAAAGGAATAAAAATAATTAATTATGGTTAAAGCAAAGCGAAACAGAATAGTTGAAATCCAACAATTACAGTGTGGCAGTGGAATTAGCCTAGTTTGACGACAGACAATATTGGAGTTAAGTCCAGCTAGATGACTCAAAAGTTATAACAGGAGGTGTTTCGCAAGTGGTGAAAATGGCTTGGTCATGAAGAAGACAGTTTATCTAGACTTAGTGCATCACCATGGTGGGAAAGTTAGACTGTGCTTTCTCTTTGCTAATCAAGGAGACACATCGACTGAAAGGAAACTCAAAACAGTATTAGCGCAACATTTTACCTATGCTAAATAACCATGATAATTCTGGCTATTGTGCGGAGCTATTCAATTACGTTAGTCAAAGGTGTAAGAAACGATATCACGAATTTTCGGCTGGTGGCAAACTACGTCATGACTGTTTCTGAAGAAGTATGTATTTAATAAAGAAGTGAATTGTCTTGTTGTAATGCTGCTTTTCAATTTGGTTAGCGAGAAATTCGACATTTATCCTTGCTTAGCGGTGAAGAAATTAGAATAGGACTTGGTCTTAAAAGGCTGAGAGTAGAACCATCACTGTATAAGTTAAATATTGAAAGAGGAAAGGTTATAAGAAAGCACGCTATTCCTTTAAGTATTTTAAGTAGGAAAATGACATAGGGAGCATAACCTGTCCCCAATTTTGATTGATCTGATTTGATAGAGGAAATGTTCTCACCTTGCCTTGGAGTCGGCTTCACTCGATTCTTCAATCCTGTGGAAAATGGTCAACTTGATGGATGCATCACGTATTATCGGATTTCAGATCCAGGACATCAGTATAACGCCTTCATTCAGGTGTGATGTCTCTTGTGCAGTTGGTTCTGTCTCACCTTTCATGACAGAATACATCTCGTCACTCGTTGGTGTTGTCTTCTCCATCATACTTTGGTGTTGATCACCCATTATTCACCCTGGCTATTTGGAAGGTTCAGACAAAGCTATCGTCGGCTTGATCATGTTTTGCAACTACTTCTGTTGTTCGTTGCTACACTTTTCACTTTTGAGGAGAATAGGCGTACTGCAGGTGAGGGTTTCTAATAACGTCACCAAAAGGCATTAGACAGACCTTGCAGTGATGCTAACAGCATCATCAGTGTCTCAACAATTGTTGTTGCCCTCCTGAGATGATGGAATTTCACTATCAGAAAGCTTTTGTTCTGCATCAGCCATCATAACAGCCTCATGTACGACACGTTCTTTCCAGCTGAAACAGTTTTTATACAGACAGTGTGCTAGAAGCCAAAGTCAGGTTGGTGCATATCTTGTGAAATCACTGACCGGAGGTACCACATAGCTTACCGTCTTCTACTGCGTTGGTGGTTCAACAGTAGAACGTTTGCCAACCATGTGTATGGTCGGGGATTCCATCCTCAATTGACGCATTCCTTAACTTCATTAGGCCGGTAGTAGGGCTCGTAAACAGAGGAGGTTGGACATTCAGCTAGTAACCCAACTCTGTAGCAATAAACCACTGCTACAGAAACTTCAAAGCTCCAGCGTAAAGCCTTATGTCCCACTAGGAACGTAAAGGAATAAAATGAAATGAAAATGAAATACCATCTCCTACTGCGAAGTAAACGATTGGCCTCCCATAACTGCCCCTCTGGTGAGCAGCTTCTAGGGGGAGGAAAGAGGCATTACTGTAGAAAAAGATGGCAGCTTTGAACTATAGACAAAATCGGACTACCATAACACAACGAAAACTGGATTTAAAAAGAGCTTAAAACTGCATACTACTGATTAATTGAGATGAGTAGTGTTATACCACTCAGATTAACCATTGGTACTACGAAAATTTGATCCTTTTCAAGGAAGGTTGAACCTACACTGTACTGTGTACCAAAATTGTTAATAAAGACTAAAGCTTACCATGTTTCATAATCTACTAACTGTAAGCCTTATCGTCAATCACACAGTACAACACCCGGTCTCAAATAAATCAATAAGTTTGCAAAAGTTGATTTCAGATAGCATATTTAACCGGCCTTGATATGTTCACATAGAAATGTTCATGAATGATAGTTGTTGCAGAGAAAAACATCATGACAAAAAATTGTTTAAACTATTAAAGTTTTATTATCATTCATGAAAAAAACATATACAAACATGTCAGAGCTGGTATAATAAGCAGTCTGAAATCAACTTTTGCGAAATTATTGATTTATTTGAGACCCGGCCTTGCATTGCATGATAGAATATAAATCGATTTTATGAAAATAATCTCAGATTTTTATGACACAATTATCTAAAACAACACATTTAAGCGAACAATATTGTGTTTTCAACTAGATCTCATAAGGCTTAACTCTGATATACACAACTTTACGAATAAAATTCAAATATAAACCAATCATGGTGTTTTGTCTATAGGATAATAAGATGGTGAATATAAAGTGTGCAATTTGTCATGATAGTAGCAATGGTAATAATAGTTAATAATAATGGTTGTATCAATTATAAAGGATAAACATGTGAGGCAATCTGTGATAACACGAATGACGAAAAACAGCATGATTAAACAAACAAATGTTAAAGGAAGGCGTAGTAGTCGATAAAGGCTAAGAAAAACAAATGAATCGATTAAATAATGCTAAATTGTAAGGGAAGTAAATGAGACACGTTTTTAACGAATATGTGATAAGATTAAGGGATGATAAGACAGGGACTAAAAATATAAACAAGGGGTGGTGTGGAAGTCATCAGCTGGTTATATCTTAATAGGCCAAGGGAAGGATAATGGATGTACGAACTTCTTTTGAATGAATAGTTAAGGTTAAATAGTTCGAATGCCTATCGCCTCAGCTGTGTGCAGAAGACGAATACGAATTCTTTTGGAAAGATTCTGTGGGATACGATGAATTACTTTGAAAGCTCTTGTTTTCTCCTCTACATGACCACTATCAATTAAATGTGACAAAATTGAGCTATGGACTGTTTTCCTCTGTCCTTCGCCAAACCATGATGAGAGGCGTGTCACTAACACGTTGGCTAAGCTGTGGATAAAGATCACTATCAGCTAATTGACTCTAGTGTCTAAAAACTGAAATCTAACCATCAGAGGACGTGTAAACTGTCCACGAGGGCAGAGCCCTTAAACTCTCAATGTAGTGTAGGTTGCAGGTAAACACAATCAAATATAACAAACTACAATGTCTCAGAAACAGATATTTTATCATTTCAATACAAAAGTTTATCAAGATAATGGTAACATTGAGCTTACATTGTTCAAATTCTAATGGGTCACTCTAGTTAAAGGATAAGAAGTGTATTTCCAGTCTCAAAACATCTTAATTTTTGAAGTAGGTATTATTTTATTAAGTTATTCCATTGGATTCCTAGTGGAATATAGGGCGTCAACGGCACATCACCATTTTCTCCTTTTCTTTGCAGCCCTCTTCAGCTGGCTCCACAATTGTCCATAAGCCTTCTTCTCCTACTAAAAATATCTCCTCCATATCATTCCTGGATGCCCAACTCGTCGTTTCCCTTTATTATTGTTATTATTTCCTTTAATTCCTAGAGGAACATAGGGCTTCAGCTGCGCGTCTCCATTGCGTTTGGTTCTCTGCTAGAGTTTTTACCTGGCTCCAAGTCTACCCACATGATTTCATCTCCTCTTCACATGACCTCCTCCAAGTCACCCTGGGACGACCAACTCACCGCTTCCCTTTCGGGTTCCACTGAAGGGCCTGTCTAGGGATAGTTCGTTTCGCATTTGAGTCACAATAACAGCAAATTTTATCACTCACGTTAAGAATCTTCTCCACTATCTTAAAGTCGTTCTCTCATGACAAATTTCAAAGTTGATTTATAGCCAGGATAAGATGAAGAAAACGTTCGCTGATATGCGGTTCCTCAAATATGTCTTATATGATAAGTTGTCAATCAGTGCAAACCTAGACAGCTTAGAAATTTTCTTTTAATTTGCTTCTTATATCTGAATGAAAACTTTCAAATGAGCTTCACGACTTCAATGAATTCTTAATGATAAAATTTTTTAATTTATCCCAAAACAGCATTTACACTACACAACATGCATAAATGTTTGAAAAAGTAAGCGTTTTGTAAAATTTTTATTGAGAAAAGAAATCAGTGCATTAGTTTTTTTTCCAAATCTTTCAGTCCCTGTTTTATCCAAATCAAGAAGTAAGGAATATATTTGAATTTGCGAATCTTCAGCTTTCTAGCTCAAGTTTGTTTGAAAACTAAAACGTCATACTGTTTCACTTTGTATTCTTCGTCTCTCCATGTAAGACAGGCATATTTGTCACCTTGTTGCAACTGAATGTAGATAAAAAAAAACATAAAACATTTAAGCTCCAATGATAATTCAATGTAATAATTAGTAAACTTATTAAATTTAAAGTTAGAAATATGTGTTATCAGTTAACAAAACAGTTAAGGAAGTCTCATAGCCTTTGCTGAAAGTAGTGCATCGATCTAAAGTTTTTTTTGGTGAGGTTCACCGTGTTTTGAGAAAATGTAATTGTGTTTACATGCTCCGTCAAGTTGATGGTGTTGTGATGGGAAGCTATTTAGAACTACTTTTTGTAGATTTATCCTTGTCAGGTCTAGAAACCGGTGTTTCACAACAGCACATACAATAAATGGAATAATACCTAAGATATGTTGTTGATATTTTATTGTTCGTGACAAAATTCAACTCATGCCCTCCGAATCTCAGCTTCAGAGGAGAACTAATGTTTCTCCAATGAAAAGGACTGTTGGTACAATGGAAGGATCTATATTTAAAAAGTCTTCATGGACTTGTCAGTACAATATTTGTTCTAACAGTACACTTGAACATCAAAATAAAAACTCTAAACTATGCATTACTCAAGATATTGACCCCAATAAAACTATCGAAACAATTCCAAAGAAATCTGTATGTATCAATTTGCTGTTCAAACGATGATGTATAAAAAGGAGACAAACGAAACCTCGACAAAGATATCAAGAGAACTGATGATACTACAAAATTTGTGTTCCTTAACACCACTAAGCGGATGCTACAACAATATGGGAAAGACCAGTCACCAATCCTCGACACTGCAAAATCCGTAGATCACCCTGCCTGCGTTTGTGAAAGTAAATACACAGATCGTACAGAAAGGCAATTTTTTACTTGCATAATGGAGCATTTGCCAAGGTGGTTAAAAACAGCCAAAGTCTAAGTGCCTGAAAAAGTCAATGACAAAACATCTTATGGACTACAGAGATGATAATGACGATGTTAAGTCATTCACTGTTGTCACCAGACAAACAAACAGGAGGAAACCTGAAAAAAGCTTCGGTTCTCTAACCAATGTCAGCTCATGATGAAATCCTGTAACCAATCAAATCCCTCCAAACCAACACTTGAATATCGATGAAATGTTCACTAACGACAAGTTGTATTCAGGTAGGTAACTACCTGGGGTTCTAGTGGGAAGTTGTGACCAGTAAGTAGGGTGCAGCAGGCCGGACGCGAGGACAAATACTCGTCGAAGACATTGGCTAGGGGTTGCGCTATGTCATGAATTGGCAGGAGTTAGAACTCATGAAACGGGCATCGGATCGGGTCTCAGGGGCTGAAAATCAGAACAACTGATTCAGTGAAGAGTCTATTTTCAACGAATTTGCCATCAAAGCTAGACAGCCTTATATATATATATATGACTTTTTCATTTAAAAAAATACATTTCCGCTGGGTTTTTTAGAGATGAACATACAGTTAAAACAAGTGAAATGTGATTTAACGTTTGCTGCATATGAAACTTCAGTACAAAGGTGACTCAAACGCTGATAACCTTAAAAGAAGGACCTCACAGTCCGTGAAAAGGACATTCCACACACCATCGTTGAGAACAGTCGACCATTAACACAGCAGTCGACCATTTCTGTGCATTTATCAATTCACCTGCTATTTTGAAGCTTGGCATTTAGGTCGATCGACTTGGGTTTCGTCTAAAAGGGTTCAAGAACACAATCCATCTTGGTCACAAAAAAGTGGAAGTAGCACTATGAAAATTACTTACGCAAATAATTACGTATCCGACTTATCTGTATTGCTGAAACTTTGACCATTGAAATAGAAAAGTAAGATCTCTGCATATAGAAGAAATTCGTTCAACCCCTCCAACTCGCGTGGTCTTGATGCGTGTATGCTAAAGTCGGATAATCCTCATTTGTCATTAGGACCTACTTAATTTTCGTTATGTTTATGGAATTTGTATATCCTTCCCTTAGTTTATCGATTGTTATTATTAATTTCACAATTTCCAGTATTACATCATTTATCACTTTTATTTATTAAATTCAATTCCATTTTTGCAATATTATCTTATCATAATTATCACCTTGTTGTGTAATACCTTATTTGTTTGCCAGTCTCGTTATTTCACTTGTTCCGACTTTCTATATGCCCTAATGGGAATTTTCCATGAATTAAAATATACGGCAGCATTAACACATGTCTTTATATATATATATATATATATATATATATATATTACTCGTCATTGCATCAACTCACTTTTCCAATAGATGGTTCAAAATTTACAGTACCTTTAACAATATATAATGCCTTATCACCTTTCATTCCTGCTATTATAGCATTCTCTGGTACATCTCCACAACTTCCTGGCACCCATTCATAACTAATTAGAGAAATCAAAAAAATGTAAACAAGAAAGAAAGAAAAGATGAGTAGCACATATACATATTGTGAGGTCAAATAAGTATCAGAACCTTCTTATTTGTCACATACCAGATGAATAAAGTAAGAAATTATGCCAGAAGACTTCTGACATCATCAAAACTACAAATCCTTTTAGGAGGGAGAGTGGCTGTGTTGCTGTATAGAGTAACTACGTCACTTGTAGCATACAAAACAACATGATATCTAACTAATTTCGTAAATTTGATAGATACAGAAGGCGACGGCACTGCTGGTGACAGTGTTCTCTATAAACAGTTACCATAGGTGAATGGTTGAATTATTTATTTATCAGTCGGACGACAATGTTTCCAACACCAAGATTTTCTGTTATTCATTTCTTTCATTTGGTCTTCTGTCTGCCTTCAGTAGTATGAAAGTGGCATCTTAGTAGTCAGTCAGACAATCGTTTGTCCTGATATTTGTGGTCTATAATAAGCGTCTTTTGCATTTATCCTGCTTTGGATAAGTTTATCGGTTTAGAATTTATCTCTCTGGTGCTAATATGCTTTCTTATTATCCTTTCAGAGTAACAACAGAACTCCGTAAATTGGATGTAATCGATCCAACTATAAAAATGTCCCACTTTGTACATTTCTCTCATAGAATCAGTATCCTCCTCACGGTTGCTACTGTGATTGAAGTTTGACGGTATCTCAAGAACCTTCTGAGCTGGATACACCTTTCAGTGTATCTTTGAATGATTTATTTATCAGTAGGACGCATATGTTTCCAACACCAAGATTTTCTGTCTTTCTTCACTACTTTCAGTTTGTCTTCTGGTTATTTTAAGTGTTGGCCAACAAAAGATAATTCTGAATGATGAAATCATGGGAGCATACAGACGGTCTTTCCACTGCTTCAGTGACATTTCAAATGAAGTATGATTTAGTTACTTCAGAATCGAGATAACTAGCTAATTCTTGCATTAAGTTCAAATATTCTTTGTTTGCCTTAGCATTTCGGTACATTTGTAAGGGTAGTCCGACACTCTATTATTTGAGCCTTGAGATGCAACATTTAACCTGGTCATCATTTTACTGTAATGAATGATGCTTAGATGAATAAATGAAATGGTAATATCCGTTTAAAATCATACTAGCCTCCTTCTCCGAGTCTTCTAATGTCAATCGTAGTTTTACAAAACTAGAAGGCGACGAGTGAGTTATCAACTGATGGTGAGATTATCTTAGATTGACCTTAGATTGGCAAACTTTTATCAATATGATAAGTGGTGATTGAAGGTGAAATGAAAATGTGAGTCACGACAAAATTCAAATCACAGCCTCCTTGCATCTCCAAGCACCATTCGCTACACTATTAACATCTTACTAACACAAGTCTACCTAAAATAGCCAGATCAATATCTGAATTAGTTCAGATTAACAACTGTTAGCATTTTACCGATTATGTGGTTTGCAAACCATGAATTAATATAGAGTCACGATGGAGTTTTGGAACTAATTACAATACTTAGTAGTACTTTTTTTCTCTTAGTATTTCAGAGAGTATCTTAAATGAAATCTTATCCTCTTTATCCAAAGTCGAAGTAGTTCAATACAAGCTCCCAGATGTACTGAAGCTGACCAAGAAAAGTCGCAAGTTGGTTACATGATTTTATCATGAGCTGACATCGGTTAGGCAACCATTGTAAAACCTGCATGGAGTACTGGACAGCTATGTCATCCTAGTTTGGAACTCTTCAGCAGTACGCGCACACCACTAGGTTTCGAACCTAAGGCATTCTAGCTAAAAGGCAAGCTCGTAGACCTTTTAACGAATAAGAACAGATCCAAACGCCCATGAATTCCAACTTCCACCAATTGACGAAATGGTGCAAACCACAAGCTGGTGTCTTAGGCTAGTATTTGTCCTCACGTCCGACCTGCTGCACCCTACTGGTCACGACTTCCCACGAAAACCTCAAGTAATTACCTACCTGAATAGGGTCTGTCACTAGTGAGCAGACCAGTACTCCAAGACTTTCTAGAGGTTCTCTAACCCATGTTAGCTCATGATGAAATCCTGTAATCAATCAATCCAATCCCTACAAACCAATACTTCAATAAATTCTCAAACTTGAATGTATTTTCGCTAAGTCTAAAAACTTACAACAAAATTGTTACTGTGATTGCATCTGTAGATGATATGACCAAACGAAATTAAATCGTGAAGTCTCAAAATACAAATCAAATCATTAAAAATGGATTTTAGGACAGATAAAGTTCCTACAGTATACTTTATCTAAAAGTTCTTTGAAACTATAATGAATTTACCACTTTTTTGCATCGGAGACACTAGTTTCGCACAAAAGTTCAAATTCTTTGCAGCTAAGTTGTTTGCCATCGTGTGAATAATAACATACTCTATCTCCTGTAACAGCCTTTCCAGGGATCCAGTGACTGCCATGCTTGCAACGAGCTACATAGTAAAACAAATCAACACAGACTGCACTGTCAGGTATATGACCATTCCTTGCTGGAATCCATGAAAGTGGAACTTCAGTACCTCGACCAATTTTGGCCATGGGGAAGAATCAACCTGTGAAATAGGAAGAGTTTATATGTTTCATGATTTTCCACGAGAGTCAGTATCAAAACAGAAACGTTCAATGGACAGTATGTGTCAAGACACACACACGCTGTCTTTTCTCTGTAACATTGTTCAACAGAAGCAACTTGCATGTTTATTTTAATTGATTGATAATCACAAATCATGAAATGAGCAGTGCATTAGTCACTAGACCTCACTTATCTACTCATGAATGCTACTCAATAACTTTTTTCAACCTGTTTATCAATAAACACTCAGCACAATGATTGATTATGCATTTGTAAGGAATCTGACGGATATTGCAAGCTAATTTTAACTTATCCTAATGTACGATTTAAAGCAGGATAAATGTAACTAGGAATTCTTTCTGAATTACATACGAACCACATTATGCAGAAGGAAGAATTAGTTAGACACGTGCAGTATCTTCTTAAAATGCCGACTATAATTCTGATCTATAATCTGGAGTGCAAAAGCATGCAAATATTGTCTCAGAAATTATCAGCTGGCATAATAAATGATTTTCTTGTGGTCGTTTAAACCTAAAAGGTGTTTATAATCCCGATGATTCTCAGTAGCAGTTTCAGTCACAGATTCCATGGAACTCACTGACAGAGTTGGAGAATAGCGATCCAATACCTTCTTTTCTTCATGCTATGCTCACAATGGATTCTTAGGTACATATTTGAAATTATCACCAATGTGAAATGTATTCTTAATGAATGCGCTAACTTGGTTAACGAGACTTACATAATCTCAAACACTGAATGGCGTGTTTGCAAATACTTATCATAAAATTTATGCCCTTGGAGTCAGGAGTATTATTCATAAGATAAAGAGGTTCAGAACAAGAGTGAAGAATTTGTTTCCTTGAAGTTTATAAATAATAATAATTTTTCCTTCACGTTCCCAGTGGAACATAGGTCATCAAGCTAGTGGATTGAAGTTTCTGTAGCAGTGTTTACTTTTACAGGATGGGGTTGCTAGCCTCAAACCCAACCTTTCTTCTTTACCAGCATTGTTTCTGGCATAGAGAGGTAAAGGAGTGCGTCCATGGCCGGGGATCGAACCCAGGACCATATGCATGGCTGGCGAGCATCCTAACCACTATGCTACCGACGCACTTAAAGTTTATAGTTTACAAAAACCAAAAATTTAGATGAAGATGGACTATATACTAAATTGCTATGTCTCAACTAATAAACCGACCTGACATCACTGCACTAACATTGGATTGGACAAACCACTTGTGTATACACAGTTCAGGGCTTTCCTTATATACAGTAAGAGCTTAGACTGTAAACAAAAGACACAGTTTCAGTCTATTTGAAAGCCTTCACCCTGGCCAATAAATCACTTTGAAATGCTCACTTATCCAGGTAAAATGGTGCTCAAGTATTGGACTATTTTTTGGTATCATTTGTAATCCTGACAAACGTATTGAAAGATCTTATTTTGCATGCATAAGTAATATCTTCCTGATATGGCCCATGTACTTAGCTGTACAGAACTAACTGAATCCAAATATATACATATATATATATCATATCTAATATATATATATATATATTAGATATGATAGAGAAGATTTGTAGCTCAGGCGGATGATTTTGATGTGGTTGTGTTCTCCGAGCTGGATAGTTAATTCGCGAAGCTTTCATCGCCCTACTACGCGACATCTTTAGCGCATACTTCAATTTGAAGTGAGCTTTTAGATTTCTCCACGAATTTATTAATCATCTCTCCTGGTGACCTTGGACGTGATTGGTTGTTTTTTTGTGTTTTCAAACCTTCTAGGTTACTTGTATTCAAACTGAGTGAAGTGACTTTGTTGGTTTATGTGAGATGTCAATTCCTAAAGGTTTGAAGAGTCTTACAGTGATTTCTGAAAAATCCTTTATATATGGTACGGTGGTTTTCTTTGTGCTTTCCTCCGGGGATTAGGGTTTTATCGGTCGGCTTGAGGGTATATGTCTTTTGATGAAATTCCGTGGATATCCATTGTTTTGGAAGAAGTCCATGAGATACTTTTCTTCAATTTTCCTTAAGGTGAGAGTGCTGCAATGAGCCTTTTCCCTCTTGAATAGTGTTTATATGCAATTCCTTTTGTGTGAATTGCATAAATTTTTAGAAGCTTGGCATTCCAGTGAATCATCGATCAACAGACACATCGAGATAGACCAAACTTACTAACCGATAAGAAAGAAACCTCACACACAAAGCGTCAAAGTTCAAGTCAAAGAAACAATCAGTTCGAATACAAGTAACCTAGATGGTTTGAAAACACACAAAAACAACCAATCACATCCAAAGTCGCCAGGAGAGATGATTAATAAACTCGTGGAGAAATCTAAAAGTTCACTTCAAATTGAAGTATGCACTGAAGATGTCGCGTAGTAGGGCGATGAAAGCTTCACAAATTAACTATCCAGCTCTAGAACACAACCACATCAAAATATATATATATACTACACATTCCAAATCTCTTACTCTTTTGAGCAATATCTATCTTTCAAAGTAATTACAGCTTTAGTTATCACCACTTCTGTAAGCAGCTCATCACTTAGTATTTTGAAACTTCCAAAGGACTAAACTAACAGTTCAATAAAAAAGAAACATGAATGAAGATTAGTCTATAAAAATTACTAAAGAATTAGAAATCATTTACATGTGAAACCATACCTATTTCTTCCGTCAACAAACCTAATATTCACGTTCAGACATCCATTTATATACTGACCATATTTATTGTCTGTCTAACCATCAATTCCATCATATGACTATTCGATACACACTAACAAGGTCGTTGTTCAACTGATATAAAACAACAAATAATATTGTTTGACTACATACAGCGTAATCCCGCAAATTTCAAATAAGTTGTTGATAAGTTGTATAAATATTTAAGAATCTATTTAAATAAGGTACTTATGCATGCACGTAAAATTGTGAAAATCTACATACACGAAATTACATTACTCACATTTTCAGTTGTATACATATAAAAGACAGAGAACTCATACAGATAAAACTGTAGATAATGCTATGAAGGCGTTTAAGTCAGAGACTTCAGCTAAGGAATATAAACTACAGTGTAGTACGATCAACAAATAACGACAAGTAAAAGAATGTGCAGTCATCGATTCAAATAGTTTCAGGTAACAAATCTATACTTTCAAATTATCTCCCAAAACAGTTTTGAAATATGTACAACTGGCTGATATGGGTGGATGGAAGCTGCTCATGCTGGCCATTTGAACGTATTAGCGAAATCGAAATGAACTAAACACTGAACATCTGTTTGGTTCGTTCGAAGTAGACTCCATTATTATTATTTTTTGATTACGGCTTGATTCCACACCATATTTTTGGTACAGGTATGGAATTTTCAGCATGTGATATTGGTAGCCCAAATTTTGCAGGCCGACCACAGATATCAAGTGTGCGTCGGCAGGGGATCAAACCCCAGACCATGTGCATGGTTTGCGAGAGTCCTAACTACTGTGCCACCGACTCAGTGGTGTACTTGAATAGAACCAACTCAGATAACTGATTCAGCTGAAGCTATTTGAATTCTGGCCAACTCTGTTGGGGTGAAATAGTTGAACAGTGAACTGAATCCATTATTGGAAAATCAAACCATTCGATATGGGAATCAATTCTAGAATATAGTCGAGTGAAGAAATAAACTAATTTCTCATGGGCCATGTATTTCGTAGTAGAAAGTTGACAAAAAGATTATATGAGAGGTCTATGTAGTGTACCTATCAAATACATAAACCATCATCTGAAATGTCAAATATTATCCTTGATTTCATTAACAATGTATCTTTCCCAGTTTTTACTTGTTCTTCTCAATACAACATTGTTCGTCTTTTACCGTGTGCAGTGTTAGCACATCGTAGATTTATACTTGCTGTGGGGCGACTCCACGAGATTTCGATATCATTTTTAGTCTTTGATTTTCTTGATGAAGTATTTTGCACAGATTACTACACCCGCTGACCAAATTCTAGGAAAGAGTTTTGCTTGATTCTATAGAGATAATTTCTAATGTTTATCTCCTGATGCCTTTTTAAACCAAAGCTAAATATAACAACTAAAACACACTTTATTACTGTGAACCCTCCTGTTTCAAAAAATTACTTGGTTATCAATACTTCTTCACGAGTGTTAGGTAGTTCTATCTTAAATCCAGTGGTTAGTCTAGATGCATATATCGGGAGATGGCATGTAGTGCCCACTGACGCACAGTTAGTCTCCCGTGATTACTTTTTAAATGAATGGATTATAAATTTTGACTTTTCACAAAGGCACACATATTCGATGAATCTTAACTGTACTTTGGCTTTATAGATCCAAAGGTCATCTGCAGTGATGTACTGTAGAACCAGATCACTTTCGCCTTTTGCCTTTCCTAACTAACTTTGTGTGAATGAAATAACTGTTATTCGGCTCAAATTGACAATTGTTGCCATTAACGCATGGCACGATTTCGCAGTCAGGTATTGTTTCATTTTATTGACGTAATACTTTTGTTTCTTTCGCAGCAGCGGAATGGACACTGGGTAGCCCCAATAAGGCGTAAGTATTTGGAGCTGATATTAGAAACGGATTTCTTTACAGTGCGTTCAGTGAGATTCTTGTTTATCGCTTAACTTACTTTAAGTGTTATGCGATATTCGATATTATTGCTAAGGAGTTTATCTCAGGTATTTGATTCAACCAGGAATTTTAAGGAATAAAAACGGCTCAACTCCAGAGAAACATTTTCGTCAAATGCATATGGTTAATACTACGAATAAGGAAGGAGAAAGATTTATTTAGTCATCAAAGTAATATTCTTTCGTAACAACTTTAATTTCATGCATTTATTCCCCTTGATGAATTTGAATAAAGCAAGAACAACAGTGGTTTGTGCAGAATAATATGGCACCATCATTTATTTCGTTGGCTTCTCATCATCTGCTTACAGCCTAAATAAATTATGAGGTTTAAGTACAGAAAAGCTTTAACATACTTGCAAATTTGTCATGTTGTCAGTTGATAGAAAGTTCCACAATTAGTAAACAGTGCTCAGAGAATTGCGCTTATATAGTTTTTATACAGGCAGTTAAAGTTAAAACAAAATAAATGTATGCATATAATGGTAGAGGAGTTACGTAATAAAGACGAAATGTGCGTTAGATACAGAGTGACTAATAAATTAGGTAACAATGGACTGAGTTCAACTCAAATCATAGGATCAAGAGACAAGCAAAATTACAGATTATAAAAGGAGGGTGAGATTAAAGACAAAGATTACGTAATCAGATGAGAGAAAAAAAGACATCCAGTTACCAGGGCAAGGAAAGACTAATAACTACTTCTTTATGAACACATAAATCTGGTTTCAAGCATTTGATAGAAATTGCTTTAGCAAACTTGAGGAGAATGGATCTCCTTTGTCTATTGATAATTTTGAAGGATTTCTCGATTTCCACCTTATGACCGTATCAAGAAGATGTATGGTAATAGCGCTACTATAAGAGTTTGCTCCCTTGAGACGTAGGCTTCTCGGCACATGTTCAGAAACTCGGAAGTGTGCCCTTCTTTCTGTTGTCTTAATGTAACTGCTCCCGCAGATACACGTAAACTTGTATACACAGTTGGAGTTAACATGAGAAGGGTATCTATCGAATTTCGACTGCACCAAAGAGCATGTTGTTCGATGGACGGGAACCAACGTAGCTGCAGGATAGGCTCTGGTTAGTGACGTTCTCAGTCTTCTGTTGACCATTTCTGTAATGTCTTCGCATTTAAAATCTAGTTGAATGAAGACAGGCTTTTTTTAACTGTGATTTGTTTGGTATTTGAGCCTTCACATCTTCCATATTTGTTAATGAATCTTTGAGGATAGCCGTTGTTTTTCAGCACCTTTTCGAGATTCGTAAATTCTCCCTCTAGTTATTCTGTAGAGCATATTCTCCTCGCTTTATAGTACAGAGTCTTGACTAATTGACCAATTTCAAATTGTACTGTTACATTTATGTTGTGTATAAGTCAGAGTAAGCCGGGCCCTCGAATCGAACCTCAGTGGGTAATGACCATTCGGATGTATAAGGATGATGACATAGAGGAGAACATTTGCGAAGTAAATAAAAGCTGATAGGCAATCGTAAGGCGAGTTAAGTAATAATAATAATAGTAAATCTTTATTTCAGTTATTATGTGAACACGTATTACAGAAATTTTCCGTGTATTTAATTCCAAAATATTTCCTATTCATACAGAATCTACATGTAAAACAATAATCTGATGAAGAACATTATTTGTCCTAGTTCTACTGCATATGAGGATAGAACCAAATCTGTACATTTTGTCTTCAATTCCTTCAAAAATTGCATAGTGCATATTGGGAAAATAATTAAATATGTGCGCGGTTTCATGTACTGGTCATTTGATATAACTGGACAATTAAAACAATAAGGAATGCAGAAGAGTTCAATCATTTTGATGGACGGAAATTCTGGTAGCCCAACGATTCAAGCAGTCTGCTGTGACTTTTGAGAAAAGGGCGAAATGGAGATATACTTTTGATGTCATATGCTCCACTTGAAAACCAGGCGAATGAGAATAATCTTTTAAATAATAAATCATAAGTAGATGACACTAAAAGTAACTCCATCAATGCAAATGTGATGCATAATCAATCGAAATAATCTTTGGGAAGGTAAATTTGAAGTTCATGAAATTTAGGAAAAGACTAAAGATCCCTAGAAATATACTGTTCTGAATATAAAAAAATATTATTGAAGATAGACATGTATATTAACAGGTATGAAGTGATTAAAGTCCTATCATTTCAATTCAAGATTATCATAAAACAATATTAATAAAAATAGAGTGGACTTTAATCGGTGGATGGTGACTAGCAGTGGAATCCTGGACGCGGATTTCGTCCCATTCAGGACTCTCATCTGGATGTACTTGCATCTCCCAGTGAGTGATAATATTCCCATCGACAGGAAAGTCTTAAATTCAATTAAATAGAGTAGACTGATCAGGTTGAAAATGAAATTATTGGAAAAGAATATTTCTTTGCTGAACAAAACATGATGCTTACACATCTCGGTGTCCTCTTCAAGTTGTAATTAATGTACATTTACTTGTCCTAAAAGTAACTAGAGATGTATATTCCTTTCTTTACATTCTAGTAAAGAGAATTGTCGTAGTTTATACCATACATTAAATATCTCATCCATATGAATTCACCACTTTTGAAATCACATGAAATAGCAAAACTTCCGTACTTCTACAAACATCTTACTTATGTCAAGAACTAACAACAGTTAGAGAACTATTGAAGATCGAGACTTGCTGGAAAATTGTTTCGTTCCTGTATAGGACTCTTCAGTAGTCCATACACATGACCTGGGGGGGTATTGAATCCACTACCTTCATGTTACAAGGCCAGCCTGCGTGCTGTCAAAGTGTTTTAACTCTAATATGAAACAAGTGATTTTCGATTTTATAGCAATTTTCGATTCTCAGTAGTTCTCTGATTGATAACAGCTGGGGATCAAACTTGAAAACAATCGATGCTCTGCAAACCAACACCTGAAAACATTTTAATCCTTTTTCTATTTATTTTCGGTTAAAAGCGGGAGTTTCACTTCGATTTCATGTTTCTTTTTTTCATTAATATTCGCTTGTATTTCAGTCTTTCATAAACAGTAGATGAGTATTATTAGGTGAAAATTGATTGAAGTTAAGAGATCTTGTGTTTCACGTGTGGTTAATTCAAAACCCATGAATAATTGATTTCACTTCATACATTTGATTCCCTTGATAAATTTCGATAAAGAAAGGAAGATGAAATTTGCAGTATAAAATGATATCATTCTATTTCACAGGTTCTCATCAGCTGCAGACTACCTGAAATTACAATGGTTATATAGATGATAATAACATACTTTAATGTTCGAATGGTGGTAGAAAATGGGATACTATAAAATTGACGCATCTAAATGAAAGCATTACAATGTTTTTAGTTTAAGTTTTCATCATCAATTTATACGCTTTTAAAGTTGAAAAGAGGGGGAAGGGTAAGACAGAAAACAGAAAAAATTGATTAACAGAACAGTGTTAGCTTGTAGGTTCACATAGCAACTCAAGAAACAAAAACGGTTACAGTTTATGAGATTAAGATTTGTTCAGTGAGTTGAGATCACTGAATTAGATGACTAATCAAAATCAAAATTCTGTTACCAAGGGAGTGAGAGGTTAATCACACTCTCTTTCTGTATGCATAACTCTGGTTTAAGTCTTTTGATTGCGATTGATTCGGCAAATCGTAGTAAATTTGCTGTCCTTTATCTACGAGATGTACGGTATCAATAATGTGTCTGGTAATTGCACTCTGGGAATATCTGCTTCCTTTCAGGCACAGGTTTTTGGGAATATGTTCAGAAAACCGGATAGAAGCCCTCCTTTCTGTCCTTCCAATGTACTTGCTCCCGAAAGTGCACGTGAATTCATAAACACAGTTGGAGGTGACATCAGTAGGGTATTTATCCAGTTTTGAGTGGATTAAAGAAGGAGTGGTGCTGTATACTGTTATGAGTTTTGCTGCCGGGAAGCTTCTATTTATTGCACCTTTCAGTCTTTTGTCAATCTTTTGTGACACTGCATCTCCTTTGTATGGTAGACAGATAAACACTTTTTTCTTTTCTACAGTTGGATACTTTTCTTTCTCTTCTTTTTCTCTTTTTTCACTTCAACCTAGTTCACTGTGTAATATTTTCGAAATCAGACAACACTAATCCAATCAGTCCATTATTTTTCCTTTTATAAATCAGTATGTGCCAATAGTGTGATAAAGAATGATGAAAATCTCAAATAAAATCTTAGGTTTAGATAGTAAAATCCTAAAGGCAGATTTCACCTCGTTTGGAACTCGTCAACTGGATGCATATGAATCGTCAGTGAGTAATGATTTTCCAGTTGAGACTTGAAAACAGTACCTATAACTTCAAACACCAAAACCTTACCCACTAACCCTTTAGAACCAGCTCCTAAGTACCAGGTGTCAGTTGTTACTTATTGACGATATTTTGCTGAAGTGGTGGGTGCTGAGTTCGGGTCACTGTGGGAACACTATCACCCACTAGGGATGCAGGTACACGTAAATTAGACGTAATACATATCTTGAGTTTACACTGCTAGCCAAGATCAGTGAAACAACATCATATTAAACCTCAGGTGATAATGATGATAATAATAGCTTTATTCCAAACAGTACTTTTAGTGCAGATATGGAATATATATATAATATGTAATACAATATTGCATCTAATTTTCTTATTACAGGAGCAATGATTAAAATAGAGTATTTGCATTAATAAAAGTTTACATTAATATTATTGTTCAATAAGGAATGAATATAAAACTAAATCAAATGAAAATATTAACGACAATTTAATAATGAGAAGAAAAAATGCCGTTTACGTAGAGTTTCTCAGTAGGTGGGTAATTTCCTGTCTTACATCTTTACCAGCACTTAAAACGTGTGCTAAATAAGGTAGTGTAGATTTTTCGCACTTAACCGTCCAAGCATACAGTTTTCTATAGTTCCTTCTAGTGCTACTCGATGAGGTGTAACGAGAGAGTTGTGTATACAGAAGATGTTCAGAGTGTGAGAGGATAATATTTGCTAATTTCTTGCAGGAATCCAAGTGTCTGCCTACAAGTGTATTAACGAGTTGGTTCAATAATACCTTACTCACCCTACTGACGGTTTTCAGTGCCCTAATCAATTTAACAAAGTCTTTCTGAACTAATCCAGGAAAGAATAAGGAGGAACAGTAAAGAAGTATAGGCAGAATACAAGAATGAATAACTGGTGACAGTAGAGACGGAATGATACCATATCGTCTTAACTCCATCACTTAGAACGTCAAATAAAATATCTTTCTGGAAACTAAGATGATGTGGAAAGATCAACAAAGATAAGAGGAAATATGCAGTCCAAGGTATTTCACATTCGATTTGGTTTCAACTTCACTGTTATCTATGAAAGAGGAAAGGTGCGAACTAACCAGCTCACACAAGTCGTGCTTGTATCTGAAAGTGAAATTAACCATCTGACATTTGAAGGGATTAAGCTTAGGACTTGCAAGCGAAAACCAACAAACTGGTTGAAGAGGCAGCAAAAACAGGACTGTAGGTGAATTCAGAGAAGATGGAGGTGATGAAGATAACCACGAACCAACAGCAACAACATCAATGACAACCAGCACCGATCACCATCAGCAGGAGAGGCTTGACAGAGGTTGCCTCCATCACTTGTCTGAGAAGCACAGTTTCAACAACTACAGGCAGTTGGGACGGATGAAAATGTCAAAGCCAGCCAGCCAGCCAGAATTGGAAAGGCAAGAAACACCTTCATCAACTTGAAACCAGTTTGAAAATCTTCTTCACTCTGTGGCATAAATAACAAGATTCGGATTCTGTTCAACACAAATGTGAAGTCAGACAGTTCTTCTATATGGTTCAGAAACTTGACACTCGCGTCACGAAAAGGATTTGCGACTTTCATCAACAGCTTCCTTCGGTGGCTCCATATTGAAGATCAAATGACCAGAAAGAATAAGCAACAAGAAACTATGGGAACAAACCAACCAAGAGCCGACCGCTTTATCAGTGTGTTGGAGAAAGTGGAGATGGATCGGGCATACATTGAAGAAGCCCCCGAATGACATAGGATGCCAAGCCATGGCTCGAGTGGAATCCATATGAGAAGCGACGACTGGGTCTTCGTTGAGAGGGTAACATGTAGGAGGTCGTGTGGGGAAGAGATGAGAGACTATGGGAAATCATGGACTCAGCTGAAGAGGACGGCAGAAAAAACAGAACAAAGTGGAGATGTGTTGCTGAAGCCCTATGTTCCACTTAGAACGCAAGGGAATAATAATATATAATATAGTAATAAGTAAGAGATCATTTGACGACGACCACTGACTAATTTCTGATAAAAAGTTATTTATTCTCTGGAACAGTGTTTCTGAGAATTACAGGCACAGATATAGTCAAAATGTCTATACGAGGAGTCCAACTGTCAACAGAGACTGAACATTTCATTCCAATAAAATCAATCGACAAAAGGACAAGATCCCAATGTTGACCAACTCTATGTGCGTTTATCAATTCACCTGCTCTTGTGGAGCTAGGTATATCGGTCGTTCGACTCGAGTTTTGTCCAAGAGGGTGCAAGAACATTATCCTGCATGGCTACGAAAAGGTGGAAGTGGAGCAATAAGAAGCGCGATCATAGAACATCTGGTCGAAAATGATCACCCTATCTCTATAGCCTCCGCCTTTAAAGTCATCTACAAGGCAAAGAGCAATCTACCTAAATCCCTACGTACCCGACTCATCTGTATTGCTGAAGCTTTGGCTATCGAAATAGAAAAGCCAGATCTCTGTGTACAGAAAAAGTTCGTTCAACCCCTCCAACTTTCATGGTCTTAATCCCTCTATGCTAAAATATGGTAATCCCCAATCATATTTTAGCTCTACCAATTTTTCATTTTTCATTTTGTCTATTCAATTTGTATACTTTTCCTTATTAAGTCAATTGTTATTATTACTATTCTCACTTTGAACTGTCCCCGGTATTATTTCACTTGTTCCACTTGTCATTCTAAATCAATTCTCTTTTTTACAACGATAAATTCTATGCTAGTAAATTTCACACAATATTACGTAACGTTTTTGTTTTATTCGATTTGCCTACTAATCCTATAATTGCACATCCTTTTTCAAGTTCTATCCCTCCTATGAATTATTCTATATATGACATTAATCTGCTTTGCCACTTGACATTTAACTACGATTATAATCACAAACATTTTAGTTTTAATTGAACTTCATATGATTATTATTATTATTATTTTGTGCATTCACACCTAGCATTCAATTCCCTCACCGGATATAACTTCTGATAAACCATATATATACGACTGTACAGCTTGATGATAAATTCGTTGAAAAGAGTCTCTTCGCTGAATCACTTGTTTTGATTTTCTAAATGTTACAATGGGAATTTTCCATGAGTTAAAAGAAAAATACAATTATTTAAACAAACAGAATCTACACAATAAGAATGTTCAAGGAAAATATTTTTTTTTATTAAGTTTCAGATTACATTCATTTAATCGTTTGTTTATTTTAAATCAATATTTGCATATAAACATTTTTTTAAAAACTTTACCACAAATATTTGTTTACTCTGACTGATAGTTTATAAATACAACTTTTGAAACTAACCACTCTGATTTGTACAGAAGATAAGTTAAATTTATTGTATATAGTGAGTGATGTTACATTCATACTATTTTGCTCAAGATGTTGTCGATTGAATCTGTGACTTGACTTGCGTTATTTTATTACCTAAGCTAATAATATTTAAATAAGTTTAAATAGCATTATGATGTTAACATGTAACTCTGTGGTATTCATCCATAATAACGGTTGATTGAACTGCACCGCGTTATTAGCATAGAACTTCGCGCAAGAGTATATCTATTCAAGTCGAAGCAATTCGGAAAGATACTTGTGAATGTAGATGAATGAAATGTTATTAAACTAAAGTAAACAAAAATATACGAGAAGAAGAATAGGAAGGATCACATTCAGTGAACGACTTTAATCTATGTAATCAAGAGCCTTCAATCTAAGTAACACAGACAGTCTATATCTGTCTATGTGACCCAAATTAACAATCAAAGACATCATTAATCGATGCTGTGTTTTCGTCTAGACACCGCTGACACCTTTTGAAATCAAGTATAATTTCAGATAACAATTCTTTTCGATGAAAGATGGGGCTGCATATTCATACCCTATGTCCTATTCATCCGAATCGATGGAACTTCACAACCTCATCGACTGGATTCCATATCTTACCTAGCACTCTACGCCTAACTTTATGTTGCACCCCTAAATAAAGTAACTGAACACATATAGATATTTATAAAGAGAAATTCCTCATAGTTGTGACGAATACACCTGCCGACCACTGATGACACTACAACACATGAGACTGAAAACTAAGAGCTAAAAATTAAAACTCCTTAATGTCAACAGAGGGCTCTTCCATAAGAAATCTATCAAGTAATTTCATGGTGGCTTTCATGAGAACCAATCACGATTCAGCGACATTTACTCACTCTGTTCTGTCTATCATCTAAAGTTATCTAAAGAGTAAAATAAAATCTTTTGAATAGCTCCTAATTCTCGATAATTTATTATTAAAGACTAATTTCTATGCTAAGAATTGCGTCTAATTGCTCAAATTACCATCATGATTTGATTTTATTGAGCTTTTACCGTCTTATTTTTACTGACAAATGCATTCAGCGTTTAAGATGCTGTCTAGAAAATCAACAAAGGCTTCATAGTTACATATTCCATCTCAGAGAACACAACAACGGTACAAGCAATAAGTCCCCCACCCAATTATTTCAGTGTTACTATTTATTTTTGTCTTATTTCTTAGTTATTAGTTTCCATTTTCCTACCTCTCTTTTTAATTTCAAGTTTATTATATATCACTTATCATTCAAATGTAGAAACAACAAACTTCCTCTTCACCCATCAGTCATTTTTGAAGCTATTTGCTACTTGTAAATTTAAATATGAATTACAGTGTTTAGAAAGAGGCTATCAAACATCATAATTTTGTTTTTGAAAGCTCTGGAATCCATAATCTTTTAATGCTGAAAACTAATTTCAGATTATTAGGTTTGTGGGGATTTTGAATTTATTTCAGCTGTTGGATTTCTATCATAAATTGCCAGTTGAGTAATGACCACCTGGATGGACTTTCTGCAGGTACAGTGGTAAGTTGTGATTAGTGATATCCACCATATCAACGTGAAATGAATGCTCATCTAAGGCAGTGATGACGGCAGAGATATTTCGCAAAATGACAAGTTAGAATTCAGAGTTCATCAATTCCAGCTCAAGTGGTTGAATGGTGAACGAGCTTGATCTCGTAACCTGAAAGTCCTGGGATTCGATCCCTGGCGGGATTTTGGGTGGGCACTGCTGTGAAGTTCCAAAATAGGACGGTACACAGTGTTTTTAATCCAGCAAACTTACCACAGATATGATGGATAGCTCAAAATATCTTTTTATTCCCAAATGAGTTCGAGTTAGCTTATAAAAAATGTAGCTGTTTGAAATTAATATTTTAAATAACTTCAGAATGTTTAAAATGGCTCTAGTTGTTTAAATTTGGTCTTATCACTACCTTCCAAAACAAAAAAGACCAATTATTTTCGGAAACTCAAGGCTAATTTGACACTTTCCAGTTGGTTTATCATGAAGATAGACTTGAATATCCTGAAATCTAGTAAAAACCACTACAACATAACAGAAATCAGTTACATCTCATGTAAGACTTCAAGCCATAGTTGGTGAAAGTTATAGGAACATGAGACTTATAGATATTGAATCACTCAAAATAATAAAGGGTTACTGACAACATAAGCAACCCCTAGATAAATAGAAGGGAGGCTGAGTCGATATTAACTTCATCTCCATGTACTAGACTAAGTGGCGGATGCATTGTACACAAACTTTGAGCCAGGAGAACTACAGTGCGACAGAAGAGACCCTCAATTAATTAAGTCTTAAGTTGTGCTACTTTAAAGAACTGTTTAATCCTACTATGAATTATATACAAAGCTACAGGCTATAAGGCTGCAAGCTGCATGACGACTAAAGCCAGTTTTCCAGAGTTCTGTGTGATTTTACTTTGAATTACCATTACACACAAGCCTGACCTGATGTTTTCTCTCATTCAGTATTTTCAGGATTTATACTTGGATCATTTCTTGCCTTGCTCGAACATTTCGTCTTCAACCCGTCCGCGAATCTTCAAAACTAGCTACTAAAGACTTTAACAACTGTTCTCCACTTGTATCTACATCATCATTATTATAAATGAGGTGTTTTTGACTGACATACCATTTTCAATTGCATTACAAGTGATACCTGATACATGGTAAGATCTAACGCAGTAAACCATAGACTACATTCTCGATGCCCTAAGTTTTAACAGCTGCGATTTAAATATTTCTTTTTCCTTTTCTGCTTCAATTACTGAATGTCAGTCATTACCGTCACATACTGAGAGTTGTCTGCCTAACCAAGACCACCTCAAGTGGTGTAGTCGTAAAACGACTTAAACTCGTGGAATACCGTCTTTAATTAATAGTGAGTACGACTGCAATCTAGTTGTTGTATTAACAAGAGAATAGTGAGAACAGTTTGAGTTGGAGTTATACCCAAGATTGTAGGTGACGACTGAGAAGTTCCTTCTGTGTACATGAATTCGAATCTCTAAGGTCACACCACTTTTGGAGGTCTTCTTTTGACTTAGTAGATAGCTTTTAATAAATTCTCCTTGTATGCTGAGTGACCAGCATTGAATATATTTTCAAATATGGCACTCTTTATTGATCGATTGCTAAATAATAATAAATGAAAATATATAATAATATTCAAGCACTGAGATATATGTTGCAAGATACTGACTGGGACCTATTCGCTGATGAAGTGTCAGATGCCACTGTCTATAATATCACCATCTATTTCAAGTTCTGTTTGCAAATTTGCTGTCCAACTGAAACAGTGTTTACGAGATTCGATAAGATCTCTTCTCAAGGAACTAAAAACACTTATAAGGGGAGAATTTGTATAAATCACATGATAATTCTGGTGTTCGAAGAATAAACTCTTCGATAAAGTCCGAAATACAAAAACTAAATGGAATATATAGTGAAAATGTTTTATCATGTAAGAATGCTTCTGACATCTAGAAACTTTTTAATCAACTTACAAGCAAAAAACAAATTTCGCTTGATGCTTTTCCTGATGTGAATGTCTTAAATCGGTCTTTTCTAATGGAACAAGCTAATATGATTGGACCTGATGTTTCTAGTCACGTAAATCCTCATTTCCCTGATTTCAACGAAAAGGATTAATTGTCATGTCTCAAATCCTTAGATCAATCATACAACCTAGGCCTCGATGGTGTACCAAGCAGTTTGCTTTAAAAGTGTGCTGATATTTTGTGTTATCCTCTTAAGCAAATTTTTAATGCATCGTTTCACAGGGATACAGTACCTGTTGCGGAGAAAGAAATATAGGTAGTGCCTGTACCGAAGTCATCTTCTTGATCAGCTCTAAAGTTCAGGCCAGATGCCACCATTTTCTATTAGGAAACTTCTCTAGTATGTTCTTTAAACGTTTTATGAAATCTTTTAATGACCCTAAGCAGTTTGATTGCAAATTCAGTAGAAGCCCATTAGATGCTGCCCTTGTACTGTGTCACAATATTATTTCAAGTCTTGATAAGGGTGTAAAGTTTTTACGAACCTCTTTTTAAGATTACACTGACTCTGTTCCCAAGGACACTTACTCAGCAAGCAAATTTCAACAAACAGAGATTCCTGGGTCACAAGGTGGCTTTCTTCTTATTTTTCGGGTAGAAAAGAACATTCTATTTTCAATGCAAAGAGATCCAGTTCGTTGCTAACGGCAACTGGTGTGGCTCAATGTTCTGTGCTCTCTCCATTCCCATTTTGCTTTCTTTTTGCATACGCTTCCATATTCTTCCAAAAGCTAACTTAATTAAATATGCCGATTATCTAATCATTTCTGTCCTAGTAATTTCTGCTTTGGATTGTTCGTATAAAAATTGTTTCTTGACTAAAGTTAAGAAATGGTCTTAATCTGAATTCATCTAAATGTCATATTGTTGATTTTAGTTCCAGATGTGTAAACGACCTACGTGGACTGATTCAGTTTCATGATTCCTGTAATAATGAAGGCACTGTGATAAAGAGTAAATCGAATATCTTTCATCTTGGCATCAGTTTCTCTTCGAATTTCTGTTGGTCATCTCACATCCCATTGATTTCTAAAAACGTTTTTGTTTTACTTTTTACTTAAAGAAGTTGAAACTTTCTTGTATAACTCAGCCTCTTCTCTTACAGTTTGTTAATTCATGTATTCTGTCCATTCTTCTTTACTGTTCGTTCCGATTATTCATCTCTGGAGTTCTCGAAAAGGACTATGTCGTATTACGTAGAACATTGAAGGCTGTGAGTACGGTTAAAGGTAGGCCTTCGACTCAACTAACTGGTATTATTGTGATACGTATCCATATATATATATATATATATATATATGTATAGTGATCTCTCTTTCTGTTGCTCGCTTAGTCTGTGACCATTTCACTTTGATGAACCTGTCTCCTTTAACAATGTATATTCCCCTTATATTATATATAATATGAGTGTTTGTTGACAGTCCGTTGCTTGGTGACATATAACCATATTATATGTGTGGTTATTGACATGTCTGCTATATTTTGCTATGTATATATGGATCGATACTCCATTATAATTAGCCATTCATGTTAAGACTGTCTATTGATTTGTTCACACACTTTGTCTGGAACATTCATATATATTTCGCTGTCACAGTCTTGTGTGACACTTTGGTTTGATACCACTTTTTGCATTCTCCTTGTGTTTGGAAAATAGAAGTATCATCGCAAACCTAGTGGTCTTCTGATTTCCGCCTTCTTGCGTCAGGACCATTAGTTTCTCGACCAGTACATAACAATTGTCAATAGGCACTTCACTTCTTGCAGGCAGTTAGTCGGCTAAAGTTATCTTGTCTGATACTAAACATCCTCTTCATTCTCAAATTTCTCCTTGTATCTCTTTGAGTAAAACCAGGAGAAACTTTTGAGAGTTCGTGCTTGTACAACTAAATATAAAAATTCTACCATACCATATTTCGTCAGAAAAGAACTTACAAACTTTTTTAAATAAGTAACTGAACTGCAAAGTATAAGCAAACATTATTTTTAAATGTATTATCTATGAGACTATCTACTTACACTTCATTATGTTCACACCAACATCCTGTCTATAGTGGTCTCATTATTATTACTTTAAATTTTATGTATGTACATATTTATGAAAGGAGCTAAATTGTTGCAATATATATATATATGTATAAATGCTGAAAATTCGATTCTGTGTAATCATTATTGTTTGAAATAAAGTGATTACTATTTATTATATTTCAAGTTTTGGTTTTGTAGGAATTTTGTTTAATTGGTTGGAGGATTTCATCATGAGCTGACATCAGTTAGAGAACTATTGGAAAACCTGCAAGGAGTACTGAACAGCCAACTGTTTTCTCCGTCCTAACTTGTGACTCTTCATCAGTACCCACCCACAACTAGGGTTTGAACCCAGGAACTTCTGGTTACAAGGCGAGTTTGTAAACCATTAGGCCACTGGGATCCTATTCAATGGCCATCCCATGAATTCTAACTTCTGCCAATTTATTATTTGTTCCTGTCTAAGTGAAACTGAAGGATGGACAATTTCGTCTTCATAGTTAGGATGAATAAAACGACTGCCAGTAAAAACACCACTGTGAAATTTTTCTTTACTCTGGTACATCTGGCCACTTTAGAATCCAATAGTTTCTCCACATTAAGGCCAACATTTAACAATATTTAAAGCACTACTTGTTGCAACCTGACTAAACTGTAGATATAAAGATTGCCCTATGGCTAATTTCTAGTTGTGATAAAATCTCCCAAAGTCATGTCTTTATCGGATACTAAAGAACATTTCTGCTTTATTTAATTTCCAGAGCAGTTAGAAAAAACTATGGCAAAGGTCGGTAAGGGTATACAACTTCCACTTTCATGGATACCTGGAAGTAGTGGATGTTATCCACATAATGCAGTTAATGTTGAAGATGTTTATGTGATAAGAAGTAAACACGGTGGTGAGCTGCTACCTGGAAAATTGATCCCTGCACATGGAAGGTGTTACTGTCCCTATGATGGAAAAGAGCTACAGTCAAATGATTACGAAGTATTGTGTGACAGTTCTGTTCCTGGTACTGTTAAAGGGTAATTTATTTAAACTTTGTTTCATCCTTTTTGAATAACCCGTTGACTTACTTCAGCATGGAGTTTGACTTTAGTGTGCAACATTGCATCTAAATTTATAACTATTACAAATTATACAATTTCAAGTGACTAATGGTTAGTGGCACTACAAATGATCGATTCACATTATTATGGTATTTACTGGATGGATAATGGTCGTAGAATTCCTCACTTACCAGACAACATTAGATGAAAATCAAAGACACGATGAAGAAATCTGCTCTGCAGCCAACAGAGGACAATCCTTTTGGTTTAGTAACCAGTCATCTGGGAAGTTCATAGGCTTCAATAATTGACCATCAGTGGATACTGGAAAATACTTATTATCTCCTCTTCATACTCAGAAGTGTTTGAGTGCTTTAAACTGCTTTTTAACGGAACGCTGGACTGATTCTCTTCTTATTGACAATCACTTAGAAGTTTACATGACTTCAGTTTATTACCGCGGAATAGCATACTGCCGATTGCCTCCCACCATCTAACATCATCAAATCAATATGCCCCGTGATGGCGAGCTACTTAAAATGGTGGCCACATTGCAAACTAGAGTGACAGAACTCAGTCTGCACCGAAGAAATGACCAGACACATCACACTACTTACTAGTGTCCAGTCAGAGTATCTGATACAGTTCTACAAAAGGTCAATCGGGAGTCTGAATATCTCAGTGGTAACGTCTCTGACTGCAGCACTGAGTGACGCGAGTTTGAATCTCAGAAGGGACATGAGTTCCTTCAGGGTTTCAGATACGCCTTGCTGACTGGTGAGTGCCAACTAGCACGAAACCCAGGTCGAAAGGCTTCCTGTGGCCGATTGCCTCCAACCATCTAATATCATCAAAGTAGAAGTTTGCAGGAGAAAAACTATTAATTCACTAGAATTTTTAGTGTTACTCGCCGAAGACATTGGCTAGCGGTCGCGCTATGTCGTGAATTGGCAGAAGTTAGAATTCAAGGACCATTGGATCGGGTCCTAGTGGCTTAATGGTATACGAGCTCGCCTTGTAACCGGAAGGTCCTGGGTTCGAATCCCGGTGGGTGCGTACTGCTGAAGAGTCCCGAACTAGGACAAAACAGCTGTCCAGTACTATCAGGTTTTCCAATGGTTCTCTAACTAATGTCAGCTCATGATGAAATCCTGAAACCAATCAAATCCCTACAAACCAACACTTACATATTTCAAATGTAATTATTATGTCATGTAGCCATACACTCTGATGTCACTACAAATCATCTGTAGGAAATTGCTCCATGCGAATCATTTAGACAGCTATGATTAGTATACTTGTGTTACTACGAACAAAATTCGGTGATTTCAGCACTTCTTGAACTGTAGGTATGGCACAGTGGAAGTTGTAATGTAGATGTGGGTCCTACAATAAACACCTATCTTTAATCTGTAACGTTTAATCTATTAGACATGAAAAGACATGGGTTGCATTAAATATATACACAAAACGTAGTCCATTGGAAAGAGTCAATGGTTTGCTATGAATTGCCTTTGAATGCTTTCGTTTCTTTTCCACCACGTGGCTACTATCAGCTAAATTAAACCAAATGGAGCTTCGGATGGTTTATGTTTATCCCCTTCCAAACCACAATCGAAGACGTTCAGTACCACGTTGATTAAACAGTCTAGTAGCATGCTCAACATAATGGTCTCTACAAGAGTGGCTGAATTAATAAATGTACATAGATGTGAAAAAAATATCTAGCCTGCATTTCGTTTGAGTTCCAATCATTCACCGATCAGAAAATTTCAAAAATAAATTCGCTGCGTAAAATGTTCTTCATATAAATCTAGCTAGTCTCTGGGACAAAATGGGTGAAATGTAAGCTACAGTGTAGTAAACTATCTTTTTAAGCCGACTAACTCTGAAAAGTATGCAAATTCCAGAATTTATTATTATTCATTTTCAAGTGAAGTAAAAGTAAGAGTCTAGTATTTAATTGCCTCTAACACTAATTTAAAGAAAACATTAGGATTGTTATGTATAAAGATATGCAGTTATATAAGCAAGAGTTTTCTGTCCTACATAAAGTTGCAGTGAACTAAAATCTATAATAAACTATACTGCGGTGTGATGCAAACCAATAGCTTGTCAGTAGGGAAAATATGGATGGTCATTTAAATATATATATATAAGCTCAAACCCATATTAGCTTAAATCACTATGAATTTCCCGTTGAATAATCATATTTGAACGAAATGTCAGGATCCTAACGATACACAAGCTCCTAACATGGATAGTTTGATGATTTCTTGAGATAAACATGATGCGACTTGGTTGGTGGTGTCTAAAAGTGGGGCTTGTAGACGGATTATGGCTTCGTTTCTCAATATGGACACAGTTACTTATTAAGGAAAAGGTACATCCATCTGAAGAGTTCTAAATAAGGACAAAATACCTCTCCTGGATCCTTCTCTTAACCACTTACAATCAAATGACAGATGTATATCACTATATAAATATAAAAATTGAAAATAAAATCTTTACCTTGAGTGTGTAAAACGTTTCTGCAACTTTTATATAGAAACTAATGTACTCAATGATAGAAATACTAATATTCTCAAATGCATTTTGTCTTTTACTTTCATTATGAAGACGTCAATTAAGTATGTTATGAGTATGTGAAATAAAGAAATTACTTTTTCTCTGATGACTTTGAGTAGTAAATGGATAAGAATTCCTTAGACATAAATTAACTTCTGTGAGCCTAAGTAAGCCTTCTGCTCCTTCGTCTAATCTCATAATCACATTTTTCATCTAACCAAGTATGTACCTAACACTAACCTAGAAGGTATACTGCTCTGAATGACTCAAGAAATGGGTATTTTATCCAAATTATACGATAATAGAATCATCAGCATCACATATATAACAAAGAGAATAATCATGGCAGCTCACATACATAAATTTCATTTCTATACAGATATGGTTGGGAAGAAGCCAGTGGAGGCCATATACCAAAAAATGCAATTGTTGCTGGAATCTCCAAAGACGGTAGCCCATTGTACGTGGTAAAGGGTTACGTCGGTGGAGAGTTATGCATTGGAAAGGTAAGCTTATATTGAATCTATCCCTATTTACTTCTGCATATATGTTGATCGACAGGTTTCTGACTGGTTCGCAGTTCTGCACAGTTCCTCGTTACTTATCCTTCCTGCCATGGCAGTAGCATACATTTTCTCCATTGCTAAGCTTCTCGAGTATAACTTAGAGCTCCAAGCTTTGAAATTTGAGTAGTGTCGGTGTTGTTTCTGACAGAGTGAGTTAGCTAGCTTCACGTTCAACCCTCTGTCTTTACCAGGTTTTCTATCGGTTCGTAGACTAGGTGAGGTTTAGGAATGCGTCGGCAGGGAATCTACTCCCCGACTATTTCCGTGTCGGCATGTGTATACTGCAGAGCAGTAACAACCAAGGACAATATATCTGCACAACATCCACAAGTCTACAGTAACTCACTAGCTGGTGTTTATTTGTCCTAAAATTTTAACCCCCTTGAAACTGTGATTCATTCATTACTGATAGGTAAAGAATAATAAGGCTGAATAGAAATTTAGAAAGCTAAGACACCTTTTAAGAAAAAGATAACTTATTCTACGATTACCCCACAACTGCAAAATAATTCTGCCTGTACATTAATTAATTTTTGCTTTTATTTGTATACATCTTTCAGTTACACGATGGTCATCCATGCGCTTATTTACCATGGGGTGGTAAAGAGAATCGAGTTGATGAATATGATGTACTTGTTTGGAGAAAACATTGAAATATCTCACACACTCACATGTAAAATGATCAGTTGTCGAGTTCAAATTAAAACATGCGCTAAGAGTAATGAAATATACCAAAATGTTTTACAAAATCACTTAAATATTAAGAATAAATTATGTTTTCCATCTTTTCTTTTCCTTTATACTGTTATTAAGGATAGAAATGACTAACCATCAGTCTTTTCGGCAAATTTTCATATTTTTCAAAAATTATGAAGCCAGAGAATTAGATGTACTAATGCATAACAGACACACCGAGAATTCCGAGTGGTTAAATGATTCGAACTTTGTGTCAGTGGTGTATTATTGTGAAATACACTTCACCTATTAAATCCTCTGTAATACCAAATCCGCATACATCAAAATATCTGAGTATATTTAAAGGTTTACTCAGAAATTTAAAACAATTAGTTCTCTTCATGAATTTAGATAAAACTATAAGATGTAATTTGTCTGAATCGTGCAATGTACTTGCGCATACAACACAGACATGGACTTGTCATAGGAATGTATATGAAATTAATAGAGTTAAGTGGTGACAAAATGGACTTAGGTCAAGTTTAAAGGACACATTCAAGATCAAAATAATAATGAAGATCACTAAACCAAGTAGCAGAGGTAATAGTACATCTGCTATGGTATCAAAACAAAATTCACCAAGGAAAGTTTAATATGATGACGAATTGTTTTTGAACGAATAAAGGTGGCTTAAACTTTCTAATTACTAGGGCTTCCACAAACTTTACAATACGCCCCAAACACGTTTTATAGATAGGTTTAAAAGATGTGTAAACGTCAACTTTATGTCCTGTCTCTATAATATGTTTCGTAATAGAGGAGCTAGGTCCTCTGTTCTCACCATTAATGAATTTTTAAGATTGTATTTGTTTCTGGAGCTATTTCGGAATATGCTTTGAAGCTAGCCCTTATTTGCAGAGATCGATGAGTCCTCCCTATGTATGTGTGTCCAGAGGTACATTCAAATTGGTAAATACAGTGGGATGTGACGTCATTTTTCGCATGTTCGAAGGGCTTAGATAGATATATTGACTTTACATTCTCTATTATTAAGATATTTAGAAATCAAACACCAAGAATCGGGTGATTGATTCAGTAAATGGATTGTTTGAATTGCTAGAATTTTTCAAATTTCCTATTAGATCAGTTTACCTAATATGAAAATGAGCACATTCTACCCGTACATTAAGAAATCTTTAAATTTAAAAGACCATTTTATCTGTATTTAACGTCATGAAGGCATCAAAAAGGCAGCCAATGAAGGAAGTAAATATACGAATTGATTCATAGAACCACTTGAGGTAAATAAGAACTATTTCTAGAAATTTGATCACAAACTCATCAGACCTGAAATCATTCAAATTCCTGCAAACCAACACTTGAGTAAGTCACCTAGTGTTCACCAGTAATTGACTAATTTGATGAAGTTGTTTGAAGTTTTTCTAAGAATTCATGATTAGTGGGGTCCACCAAGTTCATTATGCGGAGAAGTACTCAACGATGATATCGACTATCATTCGCATTATATATCCCAAACTGACAGAAGTTAGAATTCTTGGGCCATTCAATTCCACCTCGATACATCAGTGATCAACAGGAGTGCCCTGTAAACTTAAAATCTACGGTCCGATCCTAAATAGGATTGTTTAGCGCATGGCGCTGAAGAGTCCCAAACAAGGATGAAACAGTTGTCCAGTACTCCCTGGTTTTCAATGGGTTTCTTTTAAATGAAGTTAGTTTGTTGATCAAACTTAAAGTGAGAATCTATTTCTCGCATGAAATGTAGCCTAATTAAAAAGTTGTTATTTTATTGGAGCTTAGTTTTAAAGAGTTTTATGTCAATTATAAAAATAATTTAATAAAAATATGAAGAAATCCGTTTTAACACAACTAAGAAGTATGCTGCAGGCAGATTATGCAATCATCACTTCAAATAATAATAATAACTGAGTTAAATCACTTTTTTAAGTCGGATAACTAATAATGATGAAAATGCAGTGTCATTAAAAGAAGCTATTTCCAAGCTGAATGACATTGCACGCAGTACAGGCCACTGCTCGACATGGGAATCCCAATGGAAAGCAACGAGTGGGTCGTCCTATAGTGACATGGAGGAAATCGTGTGAGGAGGAGATGAGAGATTATGGGCAGTTGTGTGGCTGGCCAGTTGAAGAGAACGGCAGAAAACAGAACAAAGTGGAGATGTGTTGTAGAAGCTCTATGTTCCACTGAGAACGAAAGGGAATATTAATAATTTCTTAGCTAAATTAATAATTATTCGAAGCGATTATTTTTGGAAACAACAAGGAAGATATTCATAAATTTCCAAAGCTCAGTGAGAGGAAAAATCCATTCTAAGTCATCAGTCATAAATTAAAGACAAAGCATTCCTTCTTTCGCTATCAAATATCTAACAACCTACTGATATGTATCCACATATATATATATATGTGTGTGTGTGCATGTTGGTCTCTCTTTCTATTTGCTCGGTTAGTCTGTGACCACTTCACTTGTATGAACCTGTCTCCTTTAACAATGTATATTCCATTTATATTATATATAATATGAGTGTTTGTTGACAGTCCGTTGCTTGGTGACATATATCCATATATGGTTGTTGACATGTCTGCTATATTCGCTATGTATATTTGGATCAACACTTCATTATAATTAGCCATTCATGTTAAGACTGTCTAATGATTTATCTGGAACATTCATATATATTTCGCATACACAATTTGAGTAACTACTTTACTTTACAACTACTTTACTTACTTACCACTTTGGTGTGAGACCATTTATTTTCGTCTCCTTGTGTTTGGACAATAGAAGTATCATCGCAAACCTAGTGGTCTTCTGATTTCCGCCTTCTCGCGTCAGGACTATTAGTTTCTCGACCAGTCCATAACAATAATTCAGCGACGAGTACATAACACCTACTCAAATCAAAATTTAAATATAATAATAATAATCACTTTATTCCACAACAATAACAATTTACAGCATGGAATTTTCAGCGTTTCTTTTACATATTGCAATGGTTTAGCTCTGTTTATAATTATATAAATGTATAAAATGTTAAAATATTGATAGTTAATAGGAAAAAATAAAATCCCAACAAAATCACACCATTGCTAGGTCATAGTGAATAATAAATAAATAATATAACAAATAACACATGCATTAATATGCATCATTACATTTTATAGTTTAGTTATGATTCAAAAGTTGTAAAAGTTCTTTTCTGATATTTGTCTCTTCACACAATACTCGTGCCAAATATGGAACGGTCGAATTTTTATATTTTGTAGTACGAGCATAAATGTTTATAAAATTTCTTCTGGTCTTACCCGAAGAGATACAAGGAAACAATTGTGAATAAAGAGGATGTTCACTATCAGATAAGATAACTTTAGCTAAGTGTTTACAAGAATTCATATGCCTATTGACAACAGTGTCATTTAGTTCAGTCAAAGGGATAGCACTGACCCTACTTACAGCCCTCAATGTTCTTCGTAGTATTATATGGTCTTTCTTGAGTAGCCCAGGGAAGAATAATGGAGAACAATAAAGAATGATGGGCAAAACACATGAATTAATAAATTGTATGATAAGAGATTGGGTTATACCTGAGTGTCTCAACTTCTTTATGTAATAAGTCAGACGGAAAACTTTCTTAGAAACTATAAGAATATGAGACGACCAGCAAAGGTTTGAAGAGAAACTAATGCCAAGATAAGAAACACTTGACTTACTCTCTATCATGGTACCATCAATATTACAACAATCATGAGATTGAATCAATCCATGCATGTCTTTTTCACTTCTCAAGCTGAAATCAACAGTGTTACATTTAGTTGGATTTAGTTTAAGACCATTTGAGCCAGACCAATCCTTAACTTCAGCTAAGAAGCCATTCATATGGGAACAATCCGATGTGGAAACTACAGGGACAGAAACGGTCAGATCATCAGCATACTTAATGAAGTTAACTTTGGGTGAGTTCGGAAGGTCATGCAAAAAGAAAGAGAAAAGAAATGGAGAAAGTACTGCACCTTGAGGCACACCACTTTCAGTTAGCTGAGAAGTGGAGCGCTTTCCAGCCAAAACAGTATGCTGTTTCCTATCCTTAAAATAAGAAGACAGCCATCTAGTTGCCCAGGACTCTGTTTGAGCTGAAATCATCTTTCCTAATAAAAGTGTCCTAGGAACAGAGTCGAAAGCTGCAGTATAGTCTAAAAAAGCTGTTCGAACGAACTTAGCACCCTTATCAAGGCAGGAAACAATATTGTGGTGTAGTACAATGGCTGCATCTAATGTACTTCTTCCACACTTATAAGCAAACTGCTTAGGGTCACTAAAAGCTTTTAAAGAAGGTTTAAGAATATTCAAAAGAAGTTTCTCCATAGTTTTCAAAAAAGGAGATGTTATAGCGACCGGTCTAAACTTTATACCTGCTCCAGAAGATGATTTCTGTACAGGTACAACCTTGATTTCTTTCCAGTCAGCAGGTACCGTTTCCCTCTTAAATGATGCGTTAAAGATTTGAGTAAGAGGATGACACAAGATGTCTGCACACTTTTGAAGAAGAATGCTTGGTACACCATCTGGACCAAGGCTGTGTGTTGGATTTAATGACTTCAAACATAATAGTACATCCTTTTCTTTAAAACCCGAAAATGACCATTTTCTTGACTAGGTACATCAGGTACAACCATATTAATTTGTTTCTTGATAAATGATTTGTTTAAAGCATTAACATCAGAATAAGCATCAACAGACATTTGTTTTTTACTTGTAGTTTATTGAAAAGTTTCCAAATGTTTGAAGGATTTTTACATGATAAAAATTTTTCATTATATAGTCTGTTCAACCTTTCTATTTCAATTTTTATAAGGGTGTTTATTTTACGGACACCAGTATTATCACAATTCTTATACAACTTCTCTTTTTGTCTTCTAAGTTTTTTCAGTTGCAAAGAAGAGATTCTGTCAAATCTCGAAAACAGTGTTTCATATGGACAGCAAATTCCAAACAAAACTTCAGATAATCGGTTATATTAGAGACAGTAGCATCCAACTTATCGTCAGTAAATAGTTCCCAGTTGGTATCATGCAACATGCTTCTTAATGCTAGAATGTTGTCATGGGAATATGAACGTTCATGTATCTTCTTTGTTAAATGACTAAACAATTTTCGTTGTAACTTGCCGTACACTTTCGGTAAAATACGAATAATGCAGTGGTCAGAATTTAGCAAAGGAGCTCTCCTTCGGGTTTCATATACATCACGGTCATTTATGAAAACCAGGTCTAGTGATTTGTCCAGACGTGTATTAAACTTGACTAGATTCTCATGACCAAGTGAAGTAAGAAAGCTGTGATCACATGAAATAAAATCACCACAGACTATAGACAACGAGTTTCCGAATGCAGGAGCAGCGAATTCAGTAAACTCATCTGCAAACATAACTATATTAGAAAGGCTACAATTGGGTGTTATGTAAATATTTGTTATGTATATATAAGAATATTTACTTAAGTGTTTTGGGCGACACCTGACGGTTATGCAATCTATATTGTCATTAGAATAATTGAAGCAAACGTGATTTGATGTAGACCAACTTCTGTTTATAAAAGTGGCTACCACTCCTCCATATTTTTTATTCGAACTTATTCTATTTTGGCGAAAAACTGTGGTGATTGACAATTTCTATCTCTGTATTTTTTAAATACTTACTGTTGATTGTTAATATATTTCTTATATGAATTGAATAATAATTCCACCAAATACAATTTCCAGAATTTCGCCCTCTCTGTGTTTTGGTTGGATTCGTGTAATTCGGTCATCTCGAAATGCTAATACTACGATTACAAATAATTACCACAAATTGGCGTCGCGATGGAAATGAAAATTCCCTATAAATGGTTCTCCGCAGGAAATTGCTGATTATCTTGAATGCTTCGGTGCATGGTGCTTTTCAGAGAATGTTCGGGATGACGAAATTCCAGCACATTTCATTATTGCTATTGGGCTAGAGGCATATAGCCTTGTGAAGACTCTGGCGTTTCCAGATAAACCCATTTCTCTGACATATGGAAAGATCCGTGAACTTCTGATGCATCACTTTCATATAACTACTTTTGAAACACGAGAGAGGGCTCAATTCAATAAACTGGTTCGTGCTCCCAATCAGAAGATAAGAGACTTCATTCTTCAACTTCAAATACAAGCTTCAAAGTGTAACTTTGGAGATCAGCTGCATACTCAACTGCGTGATCGTCTAATTGCTGGAATCAATGTTCCTAAGTTAGAGAAAGAGTTAATTCAGATTTCTTCTTGTACCTTTCAAACTGCTAAAGATTTATGTATTACATATGAAGATGTCACCAGTGAATACTCTGCTCCCACTACGTCAGTATCTGATGTCATGTTGTCCAAAGTCGAAAATACAAGTTTTCATGGAAAGCAATCCAAACTGTCGTCCACAGGTAATAGAATGCAGCGAGAGATCAAAAACATTAAACCATGTTTATCCTGTGGAAAGTTACATCTACGAAGCGCTTGTCGTTTTCGGGGTGCTAAGTGTCATAAATGTGGTAAAGCTGGACACATCAAGACTGTTTGCAGAAGTTCGAAGACTTATGTTGCTCAACATTCTTATAATTCTCCCAAGCTGTCTAGTAAAATGGAGTCAACGTGTCTTTCAACTTTTCAAAATACTCAATCTCATCCAATGAAAACCTCCACTACAAGTTCAGCAACTCAAGCGTCAACTGTTTTCAAAAATGAGGTAGCCGAGTTACAATGCGAACTGTCGAAAACACGAAAAAAAACTGAATGAGATGAGAGAGCAACTGATTAAAATGGAGGAATTGTTGCATATGCATAGACTGCGTCTGTTGAATGCAGAGCATACAAGTACCCGTGAAAGTCCTGCAAAACCTTTCAAATCTCGAATTCTCAGAAAGCATCTGATGTCCACGACTTCCAATGTACATTATTACAAAGGGAATGACTATAGACCTTCTGTTAGAATCATACTACAAAAAATGGGAAATCGAGTAGTGAAGCTATTAGGCATCAAAGATCACTCAGTTCATAACAGACACCTGGATCAATTGAAAATAAATGAAGTAGGTCGTTCCAATTATAATTTTAATTATTCCGTTAATAATCCTGATTTCGTAGATAGTTCTGAAGTAAGCCCAGATAATACTGATGAAAATAATATCACAGAATCAGTTAGAAGGTCGTAGCTACTTGCAAGCAAACCGAGACATCGTTATAAATACGCAAGGAGATATTCGACGTGTGGCAGATGTGGTGATTGACAATTTCTATCTCTGTATCGTTTAAATACTTACTGTTGATTGTTAATATGTTTCTTGTATGAATTGCAGTATAATTCCGCTAAATACAAATTCCTGAATTCCGCCCTCTCTGTGTTTTGGTTGGATTCGTGTAATTCGGTCATCTCGAAATACTAATACTACGATTACAAAGTATTACAACAAAAACTTTATATCCATTTATTGAAACTAGATTATCATCAAAACTTTCCCGCTTTATAGATATTACTACTAGCTAAGCGGGATTTAGCGACGCATCGGCCCTGAGTCCAGCCAGAACCGCATGTGTGGATGGCCAGCATTCTGCCAGTGGACTATCAACACACTTTGACCATTATCCAGTAGGCTGTGGAAACCTTCCTTATAAAACAAATCACTGGTGCACACTACTGAGAAACGCTTATCTTGTATTCCTAAATACTCAAAGCTCTTTGGATGATTTCAGACCTTTTTTCATAGTGTAACAACAGAAGACAAGGGCCAGGCAACAGATCGTTTTATTATGAAAATCAACACGTATTTATACATCTTTCAACTACATTATTATAGACAAGCGCAGTCATCTGATTGGTTGTTTAGGTAGACAAACGCAGGCTTCTGATTGGTTGTTTCGGGATTCCTTGACAAATAGAGTTCTCTCTGCGAATCATATTTTGCCACGTTAACTTTGCTGTGATTGGTTGTTGACTCAGGCTTGTTCATATTTTCTCACGGCCCATATTAGTGACCTAGACCTTAACGTAGATTAGTGCCAACCAATCGGCTAGCAGCCTGCTCTCACCACAATAGATCTTGTGTAACCATTCTTATTCATTAGAAATTTAGCAAAGTTAAATAATTACTGTAAAATAAAACCGTAGAAATTTAGCACTCATATTTTGGCAATCCCTTAAACAGTTTTGAAAAATCTGAACGAGAAATAAGTAACGCTAAAAGTAAACTAACTTTATATATAGGAAACCAAATTTTTAAGGTTTTTAAAATGTTTTACAATGCTAAACCTTGACAATTTCGAAAAGGAATGTCTATCATCAACAATAAGACCTCCGCTAATTTCTGCTGATTCTCTAGATGAATTGCTTTAAAGCACACTCTAAAAAATCTACTTCTTATGGTTGTTGGATGTCCTATTGGTGCAAATAAAGCTATCATATGCAATTAGTTGTGTTCTCTAAGGTAGTTGGTTTAATTGAGAAGGTTTCGTCGTCATTCTAGACAACATCTTCAGCGCAAGTTTTGGCATAAAATAAACTGATTTAAATTCTCCATGAATAAGAGAATTGTCTCCTGGCAACCATCTTCGTAACTGGTGGTCGATTTACATCTGTGCTGGTCATTTTTATTGACTTGGAGAATTTAAATCAGTTCGTTTTATGCTAAAACTTGCGCTGAAGATGTCGTCCAGAAGAACGACGAAAGCTTTGCAATTAAATCAACCAGCTCAGATAACTTAATTAATTGTAAATCATCCACCTGAGTTACAAATCTCTATTATTTCAAAAGCTATCATGAACTAAGCACATAATACCGAATAGATTAAAATGTGGGCGTAAAATATTGTCATCTCTACTTGTTGGAATAATCTCTATGATCATCCATCAATGAATGTTTACTTGAATCTTCTCTATGCAATCATACCACATTTCACCAATTTCTGGTCTGTCTATATGACCACACATTTTCGTCACGTGAATCAACTACTAAGTAGTTGCACAAACTCACCATGTATAGATAGAAGGGATGAACAGACAGACCTTACTTAGTATTTCACATGTATTGATCCGCATAAATCAATTAGTACTGGTTATGCAGAGAAGTTTTATACCATTACAATATGAACTTTTTTGAATTCACTAAACCAATAATAACTTCAGTTATATGTTTTATTCAAACAAGTCTAAATCACATTGTTTCAACCACGTTAGTGTCTACAATCTGGTGTGAATGCACAATCATAGAAAATTTGCTTAAACAATTTTACCATTTGAGGTGAGTAAAGTTCTACTGTAGTTCATATTATAGATTTAATATAATCTCTTACCTTGCATATACTCAAAGTTCACCATTATACAGACCGAAATGAATTACTAATTTAAAAATTCCTGCCAGCACATTTAGATAAAACGATAAATTGCTTGTTAAATCCATGTGTCTCAATTCAAAAAATGTCATAGTATATCCGTTTCTACCTATCAGATTACGAGTATTACCAAGTTCTTCGTTGAATGATTCATCATCTAAACAAAATAAACTCTAGCATGGTGAACTAAACATTTATTCAGCCGGATTTTGTTTGTATTCTAGAGAAAACAAAACTCAGAAAGTGAGTATTCTGTCCAGTTGATATAGATTTACAGTGCAAGCTCTTACTTATTGTTCCATCCGCTCATTTTATCATTAAAACAAAAATGAGATAGAGTCATTCTCTTTTCATTCTTTCTCTTCTTCTTTTCTTTGGTAAATATTATGGCTGAATGTTTTTTATTGAATTTCCCCGTTGGGCATTTCACCTCACCTCTATTCCTTAAAATTATTAATGATCATCAACGTACCTACAACAGAAATCGAAATAATCCACTACATCAATGAGAGGGTCATTCTGTAGCCTCACTAAGATCAGATATAGTTGTCAACCCATAACAACACCGATTCTTTACTGAACAAAAAATTTCCTCGCTCTGTGCATCTTAAAAAAGGCTACATTATTGAAGGCGTAGAAACACCATTCTCTCTCCCTCTCTCTCGCCATATATATATATATATATATATATATATATATATATATATTCACCTCTAATAAAATCATATAAATGTTAGAGAACCATTGAATACCAGCAAGAAGTACTGGACAGCTGTTTTATCCCAGTTTGCGAATCATTAGCAGGACGCACCCACTAAGGTTAAAACCCAGGACCTCCCGCTTACAAGGCAAGCTCGTATACCGTTCAGCCAGTGGGATCCGGTTCAATGGCTCATGAATTCCAACTTCCACCAATTCATGATCAACTCGTAAAAAACGAAACTAACCCTTACAAAACAAACTATAGAAAATCAATCTGATGCTCGTTAGTGACTTGCTAGAGGATGGAGTTTCCTGTAGTTCTAGTGAGAAGTCATGACCAATGAGGTTTATCCAGATGTCACGTGTGGGGATGGATTTCCCACCAACGACATTGTTTGGGGTCGCGCTAAATCACGAATTGGTAGAAGTTAGAATTCATGAACAGGCCATTGAATTGGGTCACAGAGGCTGAATGCTATACAAGCTTGCCTTGTAACCGGAAGGTCCTGGGTTTTAACCCTGGCGGTGGCTGCATATTGCGGATGATTCCCAAACTAGGATGAAACAGCAGCTGTCCAGTACTTCCAGCTGGTTTTCAGTGGTTCTTTAACTGATATCAATCCATGATCAACTCGTAAAACACGAAACTAACCCTTACAAACCAAACTATGGAAAATTAAAGTTAACCAAAACTTCAATAAATTCTGACAAAACAAAAATGACAAAATCACCGTTGTATGCAGAATTCTCTTAAAAAAATCTATTGAGAAGCATTAGTTGAGCATGTTGCTGTCACTCAGAAAACGACATCACATTTCAAATAATTTTATCAGAATTTTTATAGAGGTGAACCTAACTACACAGCAAGCTAGCGATATGAATACAGCACACTGGTAGAATGCTCACCAGCCATTTCTCACGTGGTTTGGGGTTCAATCCCCGGCCAACGCACTCCTTTACCTCACTGGTAAAGAGATAAAGTTGGCCATGAGGTTAGCAATCCCATCCCATAAAAATACATACCACTGCTACTGAAATTTCAAGCCCCTAGCTTGAAACCCTAGGTTCCTTTGGTAACGTAATGGAATAAAAACAAAAGAGGAAGAATAGATGAACTATTTTGGCCAACAAAGTTTGAAATGTTTGTGAAGAAGATTCACTGAACTGACCACATTCAAAAAATGCCCGCACTCATTTCTGTGATAAGTCAAATTAGGGAATAAGTATTGAGCTATTGGAAGCATAACAATACAAGGTAAGAAGAAGATTCAAGTTGACAAAATCGGAAAAGTAATTAAATTTTTCACCATGAACGAGTATTTCACCGCAAGCTGAAATGCTTAACACTGAGTAAATTTATTATAACGTCCAACTGTATTACTCATTGATCTTTTGACACTTAACAAATCAAAGACACATAGAATGTCGTAACAATTAAGTCACAAACTAATTATCAAGTATTGGTATCGTAGGAATTTTGCTTGACTGAACGGAGGACTTCATCATGAGATGACATCAGTTAGAGAATCCCTGGAAAGCCTGCAAGGAGTACTGCATAGGCAGCTGTTTCCTTCGTCTTAGTTTGGGACCCTCAATCAGTACGCACCCACCGCCAGGGTTTGAACCCAGGACCTACTGGTTACAAGGCCAGCTAGCTCGTAGTCCATTAAGCCACTAGGACCAGATGATCCAATGTCTAGTGCATGAATTCTAGCTTCTGCCAATTCATCACATAACGCGATCGCTTCGCAATGTCTTCTTCGATGAGTTACTGCTTCACCTTCAACTTGCTGTGCCCTACTGGTCATGACTTCTTGCTTAAACCCCTGGTCACTACCTAAATAGAGCCAGTCGCTAGTGTGCATCAGAATAATTTTCAAGTATTGGTTTTGTAGGGATTTTGTTTGATTGTATGGAAGATTTCATCATGAGCTGATACCAACGTACTGCTGAAGAGTCCAAAACTAGGATGGAGGAAACAACTGTCCAGTGCTCCCATGTTTTCCAGTGGTTCTCAAACTGATGTCATCTCATCATGAAATCCTCCATTCAATCAAACAAACTAATTAGACAACAACATTTTTAGGAATCACCTTTCGACTAACGTATTTCCACTGGTAATATATAAAGAGACGTTAACTGGCATAAAAAACATCAAATAGTAAGGAAATACATTTGATTTCAGAGAAGGCGAATGATACAGTGTTGTAGACATACATGGGAAACGTGAAAGGAACGTAAAGAGACACAACATGAACTCCGGAAGTACCACAACAAGGAAGGTCTGTGCAAATGGTTAATTTCTAAAATAAGAAACTAGGTAAATGGTTCCACTGAAACGATTTTTATGTATAATTATTTACTGATGCCATTACATTGTTAAAAATTCACCTCAGTCCTGGTGAAGGTATTGTGCACATCTGCGAACTAGATACAGTTCATCAATTGATTTTCCATCACGAAACATCATCCATAATATTAAATAATTTCGAAGAGTTAGTTGGATTCATGCATAAGTTTCATAACAAGATTTAACATATTTAAATATTATTAGAAATCATAGCCTTCTTATTATAACTTTTCTTTGTTTGCCAGAGAGGAGTATTCAGCACCACAAACCAGTTTCAAGATACACTGCCTTCTTGAATAAAAACACACTTCAATTAATGTCTAAAATTGGTCAAGGTATTCAAATTTCAGTCTCATGGATTCCACAAAAACATGGGGAATATCCATCCAATGCTATTTCTGTTGATAAGGATGTTTTTGTGGTACGGTGTAAACATGAAGATGAATATATTCCTGGAAAACTTATACCTGAAAATAAGAAGTGTTACTGCCCCTACAATGGTAGAGAACTGTCGTTTTCAAAATATGAAGTACTGTGTGATACATCAATTGATCATTACAGTAAAGGGTAAGATGCTATTTTGAGAGGTTTATAACTGTTTAAGAGAAATAACAAAATGGGCGGTAAATAAAGTTCTCTTTACCAGTTATGTTCTCGTCAACAGCCTCATCTGAATATTTAACACAGAATTTAAGAAACCAGTGGACCTATATTATTACTGTTATTATTCTCCTGGGTTCCAGCTAGAACATAGGGCTTCAACAATATATCTCCAGATTAAATAAATTATAATTATATTTTAATAGTTTACACACAATGATAAGTTTTGTTATTGGTAATATTTCGAGCAAAATTACCAATAACAAAACTTATCATTGTGTGTAAACTATTAAAATATAATTATAATTTATTTGATCTAATCCACAATGCTCAAACTTTTTAGTGATATTATCTCCAGATTGTCCTATTCTCTGCCGTCTTCTTCAGCTGGCTAACCACATGATTGCCTATAATCTCTCATCTCCTCCTCACATGATCTCCATGTCACCCTAGGACAACCCACTCATCGCTTCCCATTGGGATTTCGCTCTAGAGAGGCGGACTGGCGCGCGATGTCATTCCACTACTTCCTCAGTGTGTGCTCAATTCATCTCTATGTTATCCTACATATTTGTTGGGTGATCCGCTCTTGGTTGGTTCATCGCCAGCCAGAGTTTTTTCTTACTAATTCTTTCTGCCCTGCTGGCCATTCAATCCTCAATATGGAGCCACCGAAGGAAGCTGTTGATGAAAGTCTACAACCTGTTGGAAATCCTTTTCGTGATATGTGCGTCAAGCTTCTGACCCGTATAGAAGAAGTGACTGAATGATTCACTTCACATTTGTGTTGAACAGAATCCGAATCTCGTTATTTATTCCACAGAGTGCAGAAGATTTCCAAGCTAGTTTCAGGTTGATGAAGGCGTATCTTGTCTTTTCGACTCTGGCTGGCTGACTTTGACATTTTCATCCGTCCCAACTGTCTATAGTTGAAACGATGCTTCCTAGATAAGTGAAGGGAGTAACCTCCGTCAAATCTGGTGCTGATTGCTGTTGGTGTTGTGGTTCGTTGGTTATCTTCAACACCACTGTTTTCTCTATGTTTACTTGGGGTCTTGTCTTCGCTAACAGGCCTTTCAGCCAATTTGTTTATTTTCGCCTGCAAGTCTTCGAGTTTGTGTGTGTGATATTAGACATATATCATCTGAGAAATCCAGATCTTCTAGAGTCTTCTAATCGGTGATCGAGCGTATTCCTGTCTTCTCGCTTCCCACGCACTGTCTGAAGCATAATCAAGTCGACCACAATTAACAATGTCATCGGTGATAATAGACAGCCAGCTTGTCTTACTCCTGTACTCATTTCGAACGCCTCGCTGAGTTTCCCCTTGTTGGTCACCCGACTGACATGCGGTATTGTCATATAGCTGTTGAATGAGGCCGGTGATTGGTCTAACATTAAATATCAATAATTTGCCAATATCAAAATGTCAAATGGGTTAAATTTAACTAACGATACTAGAGTAATAATTAAACGAAAGTAAAGACTTCACAATAAAGCCATGGAAGATTGTTAAATGGTGCAAAGTTTGTACGATGGTAGAAAATGAGGCAGTATGAGTTGCTTCGGAACCCTTAAAGTTGGACGTGATAAAAGTGTTTCTATTATTTGTAAAAAAAAGAAGAATCTATAATCTTAAGACCAAGTGAGATACAAAATGAAGTCTTTAGAAACTATGTTCGTGACAGTTATATACCTAATGTTGACAACATATGCCAGAATAGACCTATATATATATAAACTCTGTTCGTTCCTCACTCAATAATGCAGAATGATATTAAGAAATAAATCTATGACTATGCGAAATTCTACATTTTGTAGTCCTCATGACTGTAAAAGAGAAGTTGAACCAGTCAATACTCATAGAAGAGATAGGACCAAGTAGTTTATACTTGCCTTTTGTGGTAAAAAAAAACTGTCCACTGAATTATCAGTGTGCAACAAAAACTTCCTACTACATTGAATTTTACTTTCACATATTGTATAGTTTAAAAAATTGTATGTATATTACAATAGTGGAGCCACCATAGACCGATTTGCGTTCAGTTCCCTTTTTCGAGCATTTATCTGCCTTGCATACATCTCCTCGTTGTATATAATATTCTCTCTATCTGTTGGTAGATGGGATATGGTTTCTCAGTTAATAGCAATAAACTGTAGATAGTACTCGTGTCTGCGTCATGCATACGATTACTCTACGCCTGGCTATTAATGTCTACTTCACTCTGAGCTAATTCTATCAATTGAAACTTTCTTGATGTATGTTAGATTTAATTGCTAACCATGCATTGGTATTATATATTTCGTTTTTTAATTGCACGAGTTCAATAGCATATAATGCGATAAAAATACATGGTCTGAATGTCGAAAGGGTCAATCAGTTGTACACACTGAAATAATTGGATTTAGTTTACGTCAGAAAGATACGTAGAAGAGGATATAGGAGACTAGAATGATGAAGCAGAAGATGATGCAGATAGGAGAGATCTCAGAATGTTATATCAAAAAACCAGGTCACTATCCGTTAAGAGGTCAACGCAAATGAAGCCGGTGAAAGATAGTAAAAGACACCTGACTGTCAAAGTAGTTAAACAAAGGAAATGCTGGGTTTATTAGTTCAAAGAAATCTTGAATCAACCACCACTTGAAAATGACCTAAAAATACCACTACCAGCAGACACACAACCATAGATGAATACCAGTTCTCTAATAAGAGTAGAAGTTTTGAATGCTTTGGAGTTACGGAGGGCCGGAAAGGCAACAGGACCATTTGGAATTCCTTCGCAAGCACTGAAAGCTTATCCAGGGACCTCATCTGATATCCTCTTGTAGGTTTGAAATAAAGGAAAGCTATCTACTGGGAGGAACAAAGTCCATCTAATCGAACTCCCAAAGAAGAGTAAATACACCTCTCTGAGGCTGGTGTGGAGTCATGCTCCTCCCAACTCCAAGAGAAGTGTTAAGCAGCACCATCTTAGAGTCATCATCATTGAACACAGTCTAGCATAGTAGTCAGCTTCATCAAATTACAAAAGACCTTCGATAGCGTTAACCAAGAAGTAATTTGGCAGCTGCTTTAACACACTACAGAGTACTCCATACCATTACAAACCTAATTCAACAGGTACCTGATGATGCCATATGTCAAATTATTCACAATGCAAAACTTTATGAGCCCTTTTCAGTGAATACAGAAGTATGATAAGAATGTGCACTGTGACAAAAGATATCCCTGAATATGTTGGACTGCACAGTTGGAGGGGGGGCGAGTGGCCAGGCGCATGTTGGACTAATGAAAAGAGAATGTAAAATTTGGACTTAGCGGACAATTTATGTCTAATGTCACACAAACTTGAAGACCTACATTCGAAAACAAAAAGGTTGGCAGAAATGGCGAAGAAAGGACTCTAGATGAAGACAGAGTCAGTAGAGATGATGAATATACTAAACCAGTAACAACAAGCACCAAGCCTTATCAATAGCAGAAATTTAAAGTAAGTTGTTTCCTCCAACTGCCACGCTTAACAGCATCATGATTGTGTAAAACTCATCAGTGAAACGATAAGGAAAAGTGATGCACTTTGTGTTGTGTTGCTAACGTTTACTTTCACCTAAAATGTAACCATAATTTATTTTTGTGGAATTACTTAATACCACAGTGCCCAAGTTTTACACATATATTATTTTTGTTTCCTCTAGATACGAGTGGGTGAAGTCCACCGGTGATGAGTATCCAGTAGATGCTGTTGTAGCTGGATTAACCAAAGATGGGAAGCCAGTTTTTATTGCCAGAGGATCAGTTCAGGAAGATATGTGTTCTGGAAAGGTAAGCAAAGATGCTATATGAAATGAACTTACTTATTATTAGCGCTTAAATGTGAAAATGATTAGCAAATTATTGATATTGGTTTTGCTGGCTTGTGGATGTTAGATTCATATTCATAAAGCCATTTTAATGAAGGACAGAAATCCAATAGCTCTTAAACTCTTACTTCTGCCATTTCACAACACATATTGTCACCACAAGCAATTGCCTTCGGTGTGTATTTGTCTTCAAACCAACCCAATTTAGTCGGCTTCACTGCCGAGGATTTCTCACTACAGCTCCGATAAATCCATCCCTCAGTTAGCTGCCAGTTACCTACAAATTGGTTTTCAGGGGTTTGGTTGTAGGGGTCGGATTCGCTTCAAGAATCCCCATGTTATTATTATTACTTTTATTATTATCGTTCTATTAAGTTTTTGTATACACCTCCGATTTACTTCTCATATTAATGTGTTTCTATTAAGCTTTTGTGTTACACGACTTCATCTTGTTAGTCGTTAAATTTTGACCTCTTGTGGGAAATAGTTCTAAGACTATCTCACCCCTGCGTTATGAATGCACAGCCTATTTGCTGACTTCCTTGTAAAGAAAATCCTTTTTCCTTGCCGCAACACTCTAATTTGTAGGTGACAGTGGCAGTTAGTGGACATGTGAAATCCTCTGACAATATTTTTCCGCTTACTCTAAATTATCAGCAACATACCCGCTTCCACTTGTTCAAACTTTTTTTATCATCGCGTTGTCCAGTAGCATGGAGAATGTTCAAATGTATTACCACTAAATTATTTACAATAACTGGAAACAAAGGCAATCGGAAGAGAAACACAGCTTCTCAGTTGTTTCCTCTGGACACGATTTCTTAAGACACATGACATTTAACTATCTCATCAAAACACTTTCAAATGTTTAATTGAATTTGAGATTTTCCCGTCGACTGATTGGACCGAAGTGCTCGGTCTCAGGTTGACATGTCGGCTTCTTTTGCAGATGCTTTGACGATGTCTTGGCATTTAGTTAGTATTTAATTGGTGGATGGTGACTAGCAGTGGAATCCAGGATGCCCATTTCGTCCTGCATCTACACAAGAAGCTGGTATGTCAACCTGAGACCAAGCACTTCGTTCCAATCAATCGACAGGAAAACCTGAAATTCAATTAAATTAATATGACCCGTTGCACAAGAGATGCCCAGCTCTCGTGGCCCAAGTGGTCTAGTGGATAACGCTTTGGCGTTTGAACTTATGGGCACTGGGTTCGAGCCTCAGTTGGAACATCATCACTCACTGAGAAATGCAGGTACATCAAGATGATGAGTCCCAAGTAGGACGAAATGCTCATCCTGGATTCCACTGTTAGTCACCATCCACCAATTAAATACTTTCAAGTGTTATCAAAAAATGACATTGGTTAGTACTTCGCTGTTTATCACGAATTAACTGGAAATAGAATTCATACATCATTGGGTTAAATAGCAGTAGCTGAACAATCAGTGGTTTCGCCCCAAAGCCTGAAGGCTCTTGACACCGTCTCCAGTGGTTTCATGTAAGTGTTGCTACACATGCCCCAAACTGGAACCAAAAATACCTGTCCACTAATCTCTGCCTCTCAATGTGGTTTTCTAACTCATGTCCTTTTGTGATCGAACATAAATTATAATACATTTGTTATTTAAAGTTGTTTGTAATAATTCACCCAGGTGTATTTAACCCTCTTATAGGCAGTTGAAGGTCACAAGTGCGCCTATATGTCATGGGGTGGAACAGAGTATACAGTAGATGATTACGAAATACTTGTATGGAAATTAAATTGCACTAAATAGTTTCATTCTCTTGTGAAATATACAGTTTTCATCGACATATCAGTTTTAATTTGATCACTTACCTAATTATAACATTTTTTAAAAGAGAAATGGATGCTACTATGACGAATAACTTGAATTATTTGTTATGTCAAGTTGACTTGCACTGATGTGACAACAGAAGACGAGGGCCGGCAACAGATCCTTTTATTACGGAAATCAGCACGTATTTATATATATTTCATGTACATTATTATAGCTTATTCAAGCAGACGAATACAGTCTTCTGATTGGTTGGTTATTCTGTACTGCTTGTGACTGGTTTCTCAGAAAGTTAAGCCATATATCTGCGAATCGTATTTGCCCACATTAAGTCTGCTGTGATTGATTGTTGAATTAGTCTGGTTCATATTTCCTCACGGCCAATATTAGCGAACTAGACATAGACGTAAATTAATGTCTACCTTTTGGCTAGCAGCCTGCTTTCACCACACTGATAGCTATTACACTTTTATCACTTATCACTGACATCTGTAGCAGTCTATAGAGTATAAAGTATGAGTCATGAAACACGACATACTACCGAAATCTTAAATGCTGCAAATAGCAGTTTTTTCTCCTTAACTACTCTGCATGCTAAAGAGTGCTTCCAAATAGTCACCGCCTACAAATTCTTTCACAGAATAATCCAAGGTATGGTGTCAGCTACTGATAAAATTGTGCAGTTAGTATATTGTGCGCGATGTCTTCTACAAAAGTACTGGATAACTGGGTTGTTGAATAAATATCTCTGTGAAACAGCACAGAAAGCATGGAAAGATGACAAAAGAAGTACAGTATGAAGAAAATGTACAAATGGAGATTTTACTTTGAGGGTACTGCATTCTGCTATACCTGTAGGTCATTTCACAAAATAAATAATTCTACTTCTATGTTCCCACATTACAAAAGCTTGAGTATTGCATTCAGCTGTCGTTTAGATTGAATGTGTTGATAAAGGACTGAATAAATGACCGATATAATTCTTTCAGGAGAAAGATTCGAGACAACTTCGACGGCTAAATTGACTGCGATGCCTAATATTTTAGAAAAGTTGTTTTCTAAGAATACTAGTCGATATTTTCCCCTCAATCATCCCTCACTAAAAGATTCGAATGATGAACAGACTAAAAACGCACATTCTGCTCTTAGATCAGATGAGGTAAGTAAATGTGGTATGGTTATTTCTGCAACCCTTATCAAAAGCTGTTGTCGGTAGAATTGAACACACCATTAGCTTGTTTATCAATCACACACAATAAATAACTAAAACCACAAACCACAAATGAATATACTAAGTTTTCTGAGAACAGATAGCTTTGTCATGAAATTCGGCCATCATGAGATCAATCGCAAGTCGACTCTTCAGGTCACTCAACTACAGATTCCAGAACTAGGAAGAAACATCTACCCGGTGTCTGCACTGCTTCCAATTGTACATTGACATCGACCTGTAAAGCAGTGACATTTCTAATGCTTCCAAGTATCATACAAATAAAATAAAATACTTTCTGTGGTTACCACTTTATGATTAATTATTTATTCTTTACAATAATAAAATACACACATTCGGTCAATTCCATTTGTTGAAGGTGTTCATTAAATAAAAATGCATATATTGTAATTTTGTTGCTCAGGGGTATTCTGTCTATTCCATCTTTAAAACTAGAACTTCATAATCCTTTACTGAATGTGCCTTACCACCCCATGGTAGATATGCACAGGTGGAACCTTCTTGTACCTAAATACGCAGAATGAGGAAAGTAGTTTTCAGAGAACACGGAAATTTCAAATGCATATATGTATATATATATATATATATATATATATATATATTCAACTTACAAAGCGAGTAAAATATATTAGGCTTTAAGCCGACAGCGTTATATATATAGATCTCTGAAGGAGTTATGCAACATTATGTATTCAACAGAAACCACACACTTCGGTAAGATACAATAATGGATAGGAATTGTTCGCCTAGTCATAAAAATAATAATACGCATAATGGCACTATTAAGGACGATATGTACTACTGATCGGTTGATATGAATAGCTCGGAACCAACCAAATCAACTAATAGAGCTTGCTAATCACATTGGAGCAACCTAAACTCAAGATATAGGTTTCTTCCTTTTTGAGGCTGAATTCATCAGTGGATTGTCAGTCAGTTGTATATACCTTAATGCAAGTATGCTTGATTTCATAATTTTCATTTACGAACACAAGTAGATGACATATTGTGTTTTAAATATATCAGGTCTCTGAAAGATACAGTGAACTGTGTAATTCGCAAGTTGGAAATTTGAATTAACACATTCAGTCATAATGGTAAATGAATTCCGAAATGTATGATGACAATAATAGGGAAAGTATCTTGCTCATAGAAGCGCATATTCAGATGAAAATGGTAGGTCAAGGCTTAAAAATCCAATAATGAGTTGGCGTAATATTTGATTTGAAATAAAGTAGACGAACCAAGTTTTAATGAAGATTTATTGAAGATATAAAAAGCTTCACAGAAAAGTGTTTAAAGGAAAACTGTTTTAATGTCGATCGGTCTATTCACGGCTTACAGGTTGAAAACCACATTACTGAAGTCGATCAGCTTTCTGGACCGTATGTAATTTTTAAAACTAGCGATAAACCTAAGTGCAACAATAAAATTAAAGAATTAACTCCTAACTCACTCACTCTTATTTACTATTTCATGAGGAACACTGGAATTACTTACCTAACATCCATTGAAAGGATAGACTAAAATGAAATATCCTGAAGTACCTCCCCAACATTTTTTGTCTTTTCAACACTCTCTTATAGAAAGGAGCTAAGTGACCAATCAGAGTGTCTGGCTACTGTATTATTAATCCTCCCGTTAGTTATTTAATAATGCCTCGTGAAAGATTAATTCACGTGGATTCATGATATTAGATGGTTGGAGGCAATCGGCAGAAAGCCTTGGACTTATGTTCCGTGCTAGCTGACACTCGTGAGTAAGGCGTATCTGCAAACTTGAAGAAACTTATGTCTCTTATGAGATCCGAACCGGCGTTCTTGTTGTCTTTTTCGGTATCAAGTTGTTAGCCGCCTTCGGAACCTTACTTCTTTCCTCGCCTAACAGTGGTTAGTAAACTAGTCAAAGATGAAGAGTGTCTCGGCCTGGGAAGCAAGTCGCCATCTCCCACGTGACTGACAAGCATTCCACCATTGCATCACCAACGCTAAGGTTTTGCAGTTAAACAGAAAAATATAATAAAATTAGCAGATAACTAGTTGTTCGAGTATACTGAAATCTCATGCTAAAAATTTCATTGACTGACCTTTCCAACACAAACTTCTCGATTTAAAATACCTTTGGCAATATATAGTGGCGTACCAGACCACGTACCGGCAACTATAGCATTCTTCGGCACGTCACCCCCTGATGCATGTTCCCATTCATAGCTGTAAATTAAGGATAATAGGGAATCTTCACATATTTTAGTAAAATAAATACATGAAAAACTGTTAGGAAATCGAGAACAGTCGCAAAGAGATAAGTAAATTTTAAAATTGTTATTCTAATACGATGTATCAGAAAAGAAGCAAGAGAGGAACACTTAATCATTACAGTAACATTTTTCACTTTCAAGATTCTTGCATTTATCGTTCAGTTAGACGGTTAGAAAGGTGCATGAAGATGACGTTTAATTTTGAAATGCCACTCAGAATAGTTCATTGAGAAAAAAGGCATTGAAGTGGAACGATATTCACTCACTCGACAGATAATCTATTGGTTTTACGTACATCAGAAACTGTAGTCTAACTCAGTAGCTAACAAAATAAATTGCCATGAAATGATAGAGGAGATACTTCACAGCTCAGGATGAAGACAGAAGTTGACCGGTGTTTTCTCAGATTTGATATTTAAACTGTCAACGATTTACCATCAGGCTTGATAGTACAATCTGCATTAACTTTATGATTAAGTAAGGAGTATATGCAAGTCAAATGATAATCATGGACTGATTGGATGATGCGACAATGGAGTGTTGTAAACAATCCTATTAGCTGATTTCGAAAATCACATTCTTCCTACCTTTCTCCGAGAACGAATTTGCTGCTTCGCAGAGTAGGCTTTGTAATAAATTCATTGGTTTATGTCTCACTTTAATTACAAATGGAAGAAGTAACTGTCTGATCACTTATGAAACTTCTTTGATGTAGAATGATTTATACCCCTAACTTTGCAAAGTAATTCTGATTCTGATCTGTGATAACTGTGTTATTCTATGTTCCTCTGCAGAATATTTCTTTGAATAACTTACAAGGGCGGTTTTTCGCTCTGAACACTGCATTCAAGTAGTTTTCTCCAGAGTTTTGCAGTATTTCTGTTCCATGGCTGGTGTTGACTTGTGGAAACAGTTTTGTGACATAAGATTTCCTATGAGCTGTCGAATGGTCTATTGTAGTTCAGAATTTCATGGGAGTAAGGGGCTTTCCTGTACACTTTTATTTGTGAGCTCCCTTTTTTCGATTCTGATGCTGAATGCCAGTGGAAAGAAATTCCATTGATTTATTCTTTTCCAATTGTATACTGAATTCCTTGAAATATTTAACTGATGAGCACTATAAGGTGTTTTTTAATTCCGAATTCCTAAAAATCAAGTATTAAATCCGAATTCTCGGTTCAGGCAAAGGAATAAGAATTCCCTCCAGCTATTGCTTCACCGGTTCAGTAATCAGCCTTGATACCCGTCATCTCTTAAGTGTTTGTTGATACGTCCTAGCGTAGGTAGGTGGTGAGAGTTGTTTGAGACTTGTGGATTTTGTACACTTTGAAAGATATCTGCTGTTCCATGAAACAACATTTATTTACTCATTTGGCTAAATGAGGATTGACTATAGTAAGAACTGACGTTATATCAAGAAGAGTTATTATTCCGTCGTTTCCAGTCTTTAAACTCTCTACGTTATCGTAGTCATCAGCAAATGAGAATAATGCCTAAATGGTCATAGTTTCTGTTAAATTCAGTTATACTAGACGTCAGTTATTTGGTGTTTATGAGAGTACTTAACAAAAACGCATGAGAGAAACTTTGAAGAATCAAATGATATAGGGGACTGAACAATAATTCCAACTGATCGCTTAAAAAAGCGTATGGAGGATTTCATTATGAGCTGACATTAGTTAGAGAACCACTAGAAAACCTGGGAGTTTTGAACAGCCGTTTTGTCCTAGTTCGGCACTCTTCATCAGTAAGCACCCACCGGGATTCAAACACAGGACCTTCTGGTTACAAGGTGAGGGTGCGTACTTCTGAAGAGTCCCAAACTAGGATGGAGAAAACAGCTGGCTGTTCACTACTCCTTGCAGGTTTTCCAGTGGTTCTCTAACTGATGTCAGCTCATGATGAAATCCTCCATACAATCAAACAAAATCCCTACAAAACCAATACTTAAAAAACCCAACACGACTAAATGTCCCCCAGTTCAGACAGACAGTATATTCATTTCCATGAAAAGGGAAGAGAGAAATGTGGAATACAGATCTAAGGTAAAGACAATTAGAAACTTTGAACTCATCCAAATAAATAGGCAGTATCTTTCATTTCATATAAATAAGAGTCAAGAAAATTATTTTCCAGCTAAATGATTAACATTCTTGCTAGTATCACAAATTATAAAGACACATCTGAGACTCACCATAAAAGTGGCACCTAAGTCAATTCTAAGAACTTAAAAAGAATAACTTTCAGATGTATCAAAATATTGAAGTTCTTTGTATGTCATCGGAAAAGTTTTCTTCCTAGATCAAACCTTATTCGTTGAGTTCCACACTGAAAACAAGGTTCCCAACTGGTTTAATTATGAGTATCTCAATCAATTCCCCTCATTTTGCTTTGATTTCACACTTATCATTGCTTTTTTAGTTTTCATACAAACAACTATGCTAAAAAATAGTCGATAATCCACAAAGCGATTAGTTTTTGCATCTTGTATGGTTAAATACAAAATAAATTTTAACTTACCATTTCTTAGAATCAGGAAGAGAAGTGTCGCATAATACTTCATACTCCCGTGATTCCAACTCTTTGCCATTAACGGGACAGTAGCAAGTTCGATAATCCCTAACTAGCTTTCCAGGAATCCATTCATTTCCATACTTTCTACGAATTACATAGATACCAAAGCAGACATTAATTGCTCCAGATGGAGTTTTTCCATCTCTTGCTGGAATCCATGACAATGGGACTTGAATACCTTCGCCTATTTTAGCCATTTAGAATAGTTTATCTCCAATAAGAGGAAATGTAGTTGTTTGTTTCTATGTAACATTATTAAAAAATTAAATATTCTTTAGATACTTAGCAATTACTAACTAAAAAATTACTAAAAATTCAGTCAACATGGAAATGCATCAGTAAAACATATTTGAGTACAGCGGAGATGAAAAATGCTCATCACCTAACATGCAAAAACATTTATTTGGGAAACTTAATTGTGCATGAATAGCACCGTCAAACCGAAATATGTTCACTCTCCCTTGGATATTTGCAAATTATTCAGTGATTCGTGCTAATTCATCACAGTTCCCTTCAGAAACTCAAAATATTTAGACTACAATGTGGGATCTGTTTTTTATACCATAAGTACGAATAGAAGATGAGGCAGTAACTCATCGAAGAAGACATTACAAAGTGGTCGCGCTATGTCGTTAACTGGCAGAAGTTAGAATTCGAGAACCATTGAATCGGGTCCCGGTGGCTTAACGGTTCACGAGCTCGCCATGTAACCAGAAGGTCGTGGGTTCGACCCCCGTGGTGTAGGTGCGTACTGATGAAGAATCCCAAACTAGGACAGAGGAAACAGCTGTCCAGTACTCCCAGGTTTTCCAGGGGTTCTCTAACTGATGTCAGCTCATGGTGAAATCCTCCATAGAATCAAGAAAACTAACAATATAATACGATGACGAATATGTCTCACTAATTTAAGCAGTCAAACACTACTCACTCCAAGTGATATTGCTTGTCAAGCAAATGGCAGTCACATGAACACTGAGCATCATTTACTCTCGTTCAGGTAGGTCGGACGAAATGACTTGGCTCATCAGCATCACTCCAGCTGATCATACAAACACTATCAGTTAAGGTCAGTGGTATACCGTTAAAGTAAAATAATATTAAATTGTTGGAAAAAGTTCTCAGCGGGTATGAAATAAAGATCAGTAAAATTTGCTCAAATATCAGTGGTGTTGAATTTTATAAAATTTAAACTCTGAGGTATGTTAAATCATGCTTGTCTGAATAAATTACTATCAGTTAACTGCATAAACTGTAGACTAAAATACAACGGTATAAAATGTATTCTGTAAAAAAATGTATTTCTTTTTATATCCTGCTTGACTTTGTTTTACCATAAATGAATGAAAGAGAAATCTTCAAACGATACTCCATCTATCATTGAATAAATTAGAGTTGAAACATCCAGTTAAATATTATGGATTTAGCCTTAGACGAAATCAGTTTAAGAACTAGTTTTGTAGTAGACAGTTTATCAAGTACATAAGATTTAATCAAATACCATAAATGTTGAGAGGTTTTCATTAAGCTAACAAGTTTTAAATTGTATTATCTGATAAAAATTGTGTTTAGTTAGCATACAAATACATGCTAATCCAATAGGTGATGATTGAAGGTGAAATGAATATCTCAATTGTGACCGGACTGAGACCAGAGGCCTAGAAACCACTAGTCCAATGCTTTGTCAGCTGAACCAATTGTTAATCAGGCTATCACATCACTCTAATTATCACTGGTAATGCCGAGGTATCGTTTCACCTTCAACTAACACCAACTACGTCAGTACCAGTCTGCCAATCTACAGAAATTTCAGATAGTCTTATCACTATATTAGATCTGATGCGTTAGTTTATGGTGTCAACATCACATATCAGATAGAACGCATCCACTTCTCACATGACGGACAATCAAAAAAATTGGAACCTCTGTTGTACTGATGATAAAAGATAATAATAAATATTATTATTCCCCTGCGTTCCTAGTGGAAAATAGGGCTTCAGCAACATATCTCCACTTTCTTCTTTTTTCTGCTGTCTTAATCAGCTGAGTCCACGGTTGCCCATAATCTCCCATCTCTTCTGTGCACGATCTCCTCTATGTCACCCTCGCACCGACAACCCACTCATCTCTTCCCATTGGGATTCCACTTGAGCAATGGTCTGGATTGCGCGCGATATCATTTGATGACCTCCTCACTGTATGCTTAATCCATCCATCTCCACTTTCTCTTATACATTTGTTGAGCAGTCCGCTCTTGGTTGGTTCGTCGCCAGCCAGAGTTTCCTGCTGCTAATTCTTCCTGGCTTATTGGCCATTTGATCCTCCATATGGAGCCACCGAAGGAAGCTGTTGATGAAAGTCTGGAACCTGTTGGAAATCCTTCTCATGACACGCGTGTCAAACTTCTGACCCGTATAGAAGAAGTGACTGACTGACTCACTTCACATTTCTGTTGAACAGAATCCGAATCTTGTTATTAATGCCACAGAATGCAGAAGATTTCCAAGTTGGTTTCAAGTTGATGAAGGTGTTTCTTGCCTTTCCAATTCTGACCAGCTTTCACATCTTCATTCGTCCCAACTTCCTGTATTTGAAACGATGCTTCCTAGACAAGTGAAGGAGGCAACCTCTGTTAAATCTCTTCCATTGATGATGGCTGGTGCTAGTTGTTGTTGTTGATGCTGTTACTGTTCGTTGGTTAACTTCATCACATCCGTCTTCTCCATGTTTATTTGGAGTCCTGTCTTCACTGCTCTCCTCTTCTGCCAGTTTGTTGGTTTTGACTGTAAATCTTCGAGTTTATGTGACATTAAACATATATCACCTGCTAAATCCAGATCTTCGAGTCTTCTTATCTGTCCAATGTATTCTCTCCTGTCTTCTCACTCCCAATGCACAGTCTGATGTATAATCCAGTCGACCACAATTAAGAATGTCATCAAATAATAATAGGCAGCCAGCTTGTCTTACTCCTATGTGCACTTCAAAAGCCCCTCTGAATTTCCTGTTGTGCATAACCTGACACGTGGAATTGTCATATAGACAGTTGTTGAATGAGGTTGATAAAGACTTGATAAAAGATAAAATTTAAGACAACCTTTAAATATATACATATAATCCACTCACTGTAACATGCATAAGAATGTCTTCCCTCCCAGTAGGAGTGATACGCGAATTCCTAATGAACGCTTCTTCTATGAGTTGTGATAATTTAAAACCTATAAAACAGGAAACTAAAGCCAAGTCTGGAGAGACGACAGTTACTCGCTCATGATATTGGTTGGTGGTCAAGAATTTGGCAGAATTTGGAATTCATGGGCCATTTTTTATGTTCCCAGTAGCTGAATGGTCTACGAGCTCGCCTTTTAAATGCAAGGCGTTTCTCCAAATTTTGTTGATTTGTCATCAAACTCGTAACCAATCAAATCCCTCTAAACCAACACTTCAAGACACGACGATTTAAACTAAAATAAGTCGATACAACTAACTAAATTAGTACTTCTGCATTGATTTTAGACTTGAGTATTGTCAAAATAAATGAAATGGTTGGTAAATCCACACTATTGATAGCAGTTAACGTCTTCATATCATGCTCAAATGGAAAAATGTGTGCTCTTCTTTCCCTTGAAGTTCGCTTTATATTAAAATCAACTTCTTTTGTGAACTATTCACAGTTTAACGGGTAAATAAATTGACGACAAAAGGCATTATTTTACTTCAGATTTCTTCACTTCATTTTAGCAAAATTTATCAAATACTTGGAATAAGCATATTACTGTCTCAGTTATATTACTTTAAGAATTTTGAGCTTGCTATCCTACTGGTCTCAACTAATGAATGAATGAATGATCTTCTAGACCTTGATTTTGGCCACAAGATTGACTGACTTCTAAGCCTAGTCCATCCTAAACTGATGCCTAGGCTGCTCCAAATGCTAACCTAATTTATGAACAAAGAATGTAATATTTACACGTACTATAAACTGTATTTAGACAAGAAGTACTCATATTTCTTAGGTAAACACCAACTCAACACAATGTAGCATCCACAGAGTTATCCCCTCAAACAATCACAATGATTGTCTTTGATATCTACCAGAAGAAATAATTCATCGTTGAAAGTCAAACGTCTGAAACTCACTTGGATTCACGAATTTCCTCAATCATCTCTAATGTATCGCACAAAATATTTCTTCTTTACGTATTGAGATAAACCCGTAGAATGAATCCCTCATAAGCACTTAAAGTTAATGAAACTGAAAACAGCTGACTTTCTTTATTCAAAGAATTTAGTATAATTACAGTACAACACTTTCCTGGAATTTTATATATTTTGCAGTCTAATCTCATCAATCATTGTCTTTTATTTTAGATTAAAATAAGGTTAAACATGAATTAAGCTACTAATCAGTCAATTTTTAAGAAAATGTGCTACCCTAGGCACACTGAGGATTTAATATCACTTCACTCTCGTTTAGTGTGATCCTTATATTGATTTCATTTGGACAGTACTACTTTCGGTTTTCTCTTTCCAGATAACCTTCAGATAACATAAATTAATGGTCAAAATAAACAATAATTACACTTAAATCAATTGAAAATGAGAAAAATACAGACAATACCAAGTTTTTGTTTGCACGGATTTGACCACAAGCTGAAAGCAGGTAGAGAACTAGTGTAAAACTTGGGAGTACTGGCTATCCGTTTCGTACTGATTTCAGACTCGTCAGCAGTACACATCCACCAAGGTTCAAAACAAGGTCCTCCCATTTACAAGGTGACCACGTAGATCATTTGAACCTTGATGGATACGTACTGATCAAAAGTCCAAATCTATGACGAAACACCTTTCCAGTACTTCACGATTTTCCAATGGTTCTCTAAGTGATATCAAGTCGTGATTAAACGCATCAAACGCAAAATTAAATACTTACCCAATTGGTTCGAGGATTTTATCATGAGCTGACATCAGTTAGAGAACCATTGGAAAACCTGGGAGTACTAGACAGCTGTTTCGTCTGTCCTGGTTTGGGACTCTTTATCATTACGCACCCACCGGGGTTCGAATCCACAACCTTCTGGTTACAAGATGAGCTCGTAGACTATTAAGCTACTGGAACTCGACCCAATGGCCCATGAATTCTGACTTCTGTCAATTCATGACACAGCACGACCCCTTCGTAATGTCTTCTTCGATGAGT